CTCCAGGGAAGTCAGTGCGAAGCGTGATGGGAGGAACAGCGGAGGCTGCAGGCTTTGCTTTGCACAGGCAGTCTAAAGTGCAGCGGGCCGGTGACGTAGGATGTGGGATTTCAGGGTTAAGATTGCACCGATTACAAGTTCCGGTTATTAGTCTTTAAAAAGCCTGACATGCTGATTCCGATTTTGATTTTGATACAGATTTCTTTTCTCTAACTGACATTGTCAGCCATAAGATCACAAGATATTTTAATCTGATCGAACATTTCTATTGCCTGTAAGACAATAAAAACTTCCAAAATAACCTTTAAAATATAAATTAAAGTTCAAAGCGGTGGGTGGATTTCAGACCTTTACAGAGGTAGATCAGGTAAATATTGCTATTGATTAGAATCAATAATAACATTTACACTCCCTCCTCCTGGCTGCACAGGGAAGCTTAAGCTAAAGACCATTATCACAATGTGCCTTGAATACATTTTTTCTACCAGTAACCCAAACAGAGTCAGTATGCACAAATCATGAACAACTACATCTGTGCTGTTAATACATTTTATCAGATGTAATAGCTTTTCTCAAAGACCTTTATAAAAAAAATCTTATATTCAATTCAATTCAGTTTATTTCTATAGCGTCAATTCACATCATATCATCTCAAGGCACTTTCTAGATCATCCAGTCAGATTGATTCAAAGTTTTCTATCTAAGGAAAACCAGCTGATTGCATCGACTCATTGACTCTTCAGCAATCCCTCACACTAAGCATGCTTGTACCGACAGTGGAGAGGAAAAACTCCCTTTGAACAGGAAGAAACCTCCAGCAGAACCAGGCTCAGTGTGAGCGGCCATCTGCTGAGGCCCACTGGGGTTCAAGGAGACAGAAGCAGACTTAGAAAAAGAAGCATAGATACAAAAGGCAACTGTTAACCAGCTCCACAGGCGGCCCCGTCCAGGAAACACACAGCCAGGCAGACGAGCTCCGAGCCAGCTCCCATGTCAGAGGATGAAGAGAGCACATCCAGTTAGTCACAGTCAGAGAAACAGGACTACACTGGAAAACAGGCCAAGCTCCAACATCTAGAAACAAAGGTGTTGATGGCAGCAGCACAGCTGATATTTCTGTCCAGGAACTGGCAAGGTGAAGGTGTATATATGTGTATCAGAAATTGCACACATTAGATTAATCACTAGGCCGTATACAATAATTTAGGTAAAAAATGCACCAAAAAGAAAGTAAATAAAGCTCATCTGAGCTGACTGAATTCATCTATTGCACAACTAGTGAAAATATCTGGATGCCAAAAAAAAAATAAAAATTTCTAACTCTTAAATTCCACAGAATGAGTTGTTTCAGCCTTCAGGTTCAGGTTTCAGGTTCACCACATCACAGCTGTGTGAATTCTGGAAAAAAAAATTCTACATCTAGGCTGAAATGAGCAGTTTTTTTGTTTTTTTGCTTTGTTTTTCAGCAAATAAGCTGCTGTTTTTTATTTATCTTGAACATTTTTCACTATGTGTTTTGTAATATCTGCAGTCTTTCACATTGTGCAAAACTGAAGTAACATTTCCACAGTGCATAAGAAAAATGCTACAATCAATAAAAATAGACAGATAATTGTGCAAATGCAAAGTTTACCCCACCGATAAGAAGAGTCAGCCTCTGAATCACAAGACCAGACCCTTAGAAGGACTATAACCCAGAAGAAAAGGTGACTGGCTAAGTTTAAAGGCTTTGATATGGAAGCAAATCGTTACCATATTTAAAAAGCATTTTCAGAAATTCTTTTTCATTTTAAGAATGTGGCTGCATTGTTTGGCTCCTAATTGAAATTAGTAATCAATAATCCTGTTTACATTTTCTTCTTTAACACTGCTCATCCTTTTACTTAATTAAAATGAAAAAGAAATTTGAGATTTATTTTTTAAAATGTACCCCAGCAAATACATACAAAAAAATTCAATTTGAAATGTAAAATTTGAAATTAAAAAAAGCATTTCCAGAAATGCTTTTTCATTTTAAATATGGTAAAGATTTGCTTCCATACTTAAATGCATTTGTGAACAAATTGGGCTAAAGCACAAAAAGATCCTACTTTGATAGCAAAGTAATCAAAGTATGAAGACTATTCTTTACACTTTTACAGAGTAAGCTTGCTAATACAGGTGCTGGTCATAAAATTAGAATATCATGAAAAAGTAGATTGATTTCAGTAATTCCATTTAAAAAGTGAAACTTGTATATTATATTCATACATTACATACAAACTCATATATTTCAGATGTTTATTTTGTTTAATTTTGATGATTACAAATGACAACAAATGAAAATCTCAAATTCATCATATCAGAAAATTAGAATATTACTGAAGACCAATAAAAACAAAGGATTTATAGAAATGTTGGCCAACTGAAAAGTATGAACATGAAAAGTATGAGCATGTACAGCACTCAGTATTTAGTTGGGCCTCCTTTGGCCTGTATTACTGCAGCAATGCGGCGTGGCATGGAGTCGATCAGTCTGTGGCACTGCTCAGGTGTTATGATAGCCCAGGTTGCTCTAATAGTGGCTTTTAGCTCTTCTGAATTGTTGGGTCTGGTGTATTGCATCTTCTTCTTCACAATACCCCATAGATTTTCTATGGGGTTAAGGTCAGGAGAGTTTGCTGGCCAATTAAGAACAGGGATACCATGGTCCTTCAACCAGGTACTGGTAGCTTTGGCACTGTGTGCAGGTGCCAAGTCCTGTTGGAAAATGAAATCTGCATCTCCAAAAAGTTGGTCAGCTGCAGGAAGCATGAAGTGCTCTAAAACTTCCTGGTATGTGGCTGCGTTGACCCTGGACCTCAGAAAACACAATGGACCAACACCAGCAGATGACATGGCACCCCAAACCATCACTGACTGTGGAAACTTTACACTGGACTTCAAGCAACGTGGATGAAGTGCCTCTCTTCTTTTCCTCCAGACTCTGGGACCTTGATTTCCAAAGGAAATGCAAAATTTACTTTCATCAGAGAACATGACTTTGGACCACTCACCAGCAGTCCAGTCCTGTTTCTCTTTAGCCCAGGCAAGACGCTTCTGACGCTGTCTGTGGTTCAAGAGTGGCTTGACACAAGGAATGCGACAGCAGAAACCCATGTCTTTCATACGTCTGTGTGTGGTGGTTCTTGAAGCACTCACTCCAGCTGCAGTCCACTCTTTGTGAATCTCCCCCACATTTTTGAATGGGTTTTGTTTCACAATCCTCTCCAGGGTGCGGTTATCTCTCTTGCTTGTACACTTTTTTCGACCACATCTTTTCCTTCCCTTCGCCTCTCTATTAATGTGCTTGGACACTGAGCTCTGTGAACAGCCAGCCTCTTTAGCGATGACCTTTTGTGTCTTGCCCTCCTTGTGCAAGGTGTCGATGGTCGTCTTTTGGACAACTGTCAAGTCAGCAGTCTTCCCCATGATTGTGTAGCCTATAGAACTAGACTGAAAGACCATTTAAAGGCTTTTGCAGGTGGTTTGAGTTAATTAGCTGATTAGAGTGTGGCACCAGGGGCCATCAATTTTGAACCTTTTCACAATATTCTAATTTTCTGATATGATGAATTTGAGATTTTCATTTGTTGTCATTTGTAATCATCAAAATTAAACAAAATAAACATCTGAAATATATGAGTTTGTATGTAATGTATGAATATAATATACAAGTTTCACTTTTTAAATGGAATTACTGAAATCAATCTACTTTTTCATGATATTCTAATTTTATGACCAGCACCTGTATAGTCAGTTCAATCTCTAACATTCTGCTCTCTGTTTTTTCTCATAGTAGCTTCATCTGGTCTGTTCCTGTTTGGCTGTGACTCCATCCTGGAGAGAAATATCAGCTGTGCTGCTGCCATCAACACCTTTGTTTCTAGATGTTGGAGCTTGGCCTGTTTTCCAGTGTAGTCCTGTTTCTCTGACTGTGACTAACTGGATGTGCTCTCTTCATCCTCTGACATGGGAGCTGGCTCGGAGCTCATCTGCCTGGCTGTGTGTTTCCTGGACGGGGCCGCCTTTTACAGTTAGGGGTGTAAATAATAATCGTTTTGTATCGATGCATCGATCCAACAGCCGACGATCCGATGCATCGACTCATCTGCAAAAGTATCGATTCATGTTTTGTTTTTCCTCCATTCTATTTTATCCATTTGCTCCTGGACGTAATTCTGACTCCCGTGCTGCGGTGGCGCTAAACCTATTTTGCCCTCCTGCCTGGCTTCCTTTAGCCACTCCCCTCTTTCCGCATGCACACACACAGTCACGTTAACAGTAGGAAAGACAGTTGTGGCGGAGGAAAACTAAGATGATGTATTCTTGGGTATCGAAAATAATCGAATCGTTGGGTCAGGAAATCGATACTGAATCGAATCGCCATGATGGGTGTGATTGGCACCCCTAGTATCTATGCTTCTTTTTCTATGTCTGTCTCCTTGAACCCCAGTTGGCCTCAGCAGATGGCCGCTCACTCTGAGCCTGGTTCTGCTGGAGGTTTCTTCCTGTTCAAAGGGAGTTTTTCCTCTCCACTGTCGCTACAAGCATGCTTAGTGTGAGGGAATTGCATTCGATTCACTAAGTCGATGCAATCAACTGGTTTAACTTAGATAGAAAACATTGAATCAATCTGACTGGATGATCTGGTGAACTGGAAAGTGTGATTTGGTGCTATAGAAATGAACTGAATTGAATTGAAATTTAATTAAATCAATTTAATTCCATTGTACATTTCAATTTTAAACAGTTTAGAATACATCCACGGGTCTATGCTGAATAAAATGTAATAGTATTCTAAATAACTTAATATCTTTATTGAATTCAAACGTTTATAAAAGGACCCTGAAGTTTTGGGGGCCCCAAAGCAGCAGCTTAGTTTGCTTATGCCTTGGGCTGGCTTTGAGTTTTATCATAAGGAGAGGCAACATGTCTCTTTATTCTTAAGAGTGTTTAATAAAATAGAAAATGTGACCTACCTGTCAGTGTCAGCTGGCTGTGTGACACTCATTGGGCTTCCCTTGCCTGCAGATTTCAGCCAGATAACATTTTCTTTAAAGCAGCTGATTGATTTGGTCTGGATCAGCAGCCAGCTTCATTCAGCATGAAGGTCCATCCAATCCAGCTGGTTTCACAGGGAAGTTTGTTGTGTTTTCTCTAAAATACATTGATGATCAACCTGGGGGCTGTGATGCATTCAGGAGAAATGCAGGAATCTTCTGGGTGTTTCAGAAAGCAGCCGCTGCTTGCATCAGAGGAGACATCTGGAAAACTTTACAGCTCAAACCTTCCACACAACTTTCCCCTCCTCGGATCGCCTTCGAGTTGAACAAAAAAAGGAGAAAACTCTTCATTTTCCGCCAGGAAATGCTTCCATGTTGATCATTTGGGTCTTTTCTTAGGGTCCCGGAGAAAATGACGTCAAAGTTTGGCTACTAAAGAGCCCAAATGAAGCGTTTATTTCCGCTGTTCTGCGGGGTTTTGCTTCTCCTCCTCCAGCAGATTAATGGACTTTAATCATCGACTAATGTCCAGCTATCCTGCCTGCCGCTTCACTGAAGCATGATTCAAACGGGGAAAACAGAAAGGCTTGGCGCCCCCTCCCCAAAACACTGAAAAACTGAAGAAACCCACCTTCCAACGATGCGTTCAAGGCCTGCTCGTACATGTCTAAACTCTCCGAGGTTTGCGTTTAATTACCAGAGGTATGTGTCTGAACTCGATAAATGTTCAACTTATTAATTATTAAGGCTAAATTTCGTCTTCATAAATGCAAATTTTTGAGAAAAAAACTGACTTTTCAGGTTTTTTTTTATTGAATTTAAACATTATATATTTACAATTCGACCTTCAACAAATAAAAAAAGCAAAAACAACTTTATTGGCTTGCAATCAAATTGGAATTTTAGATAATTTATTGTGTTGATTACCTTCGTCATTGTGGCATCTGGTATTTTTGTCACCTTTGGTACTGTTTTTCCTTAAACAAGATTATTTTGTCATTTCTTATTATACTTTTATTGTTTTCTGTTAATGCTCCCCCTGGCAAATGTTTTTGTTGTTTTGTGATATGTACACAATGCAGTTTTGTATTGTTGTCTATTGTAAATAATAAAGTTTATTATATTTATAGGACACTCAGTGGAGTATTTTGAAAATCTAAATTTTAAGCCAATCCAGGACAAGACCTTAGTACCTTTATAACATTAGAAAAATCTGGATATTTTGATGGCAAAAATTAATATAAATGTCATAATAAGAAATGCCAACTTGCCCGAATATATTAAGAACAATAACAAAAGTGCTTCTATAAGAAATTGAGGAAAAAAGTGAAAGAAACACATTTTATTTTGGTCCAAGATAACCTTATAGGCACTAATGCTGATACTGGCACGAACTTTTTTTTTTATTTATAAACCTAAATATAGTTGTTAACTAGGCTTATTAACTTTTTAACTTTATTTTTTAACTTTTCAATTAGCTTTTTAAAATTTTTTCTTGACTTGTTACCTTTTTTTCAACTTAATTTCCAGTAGGTAACATATCATTCAAGGGCTCATCTAATTGATCAAATGTCAAAATAAGATGAACAGCCATGTAGCAGCATCTTTGCTGAAAGGCCGGATATAGATCTTAAAAAGTGGTTAAAGTGTCATATTTTTTTAATGAATTGTGGTGAATAGCCTATGTTTTTGAAAATATCCCACAATTTAAGAAGAAAATAAGAAGAAAATAAATATATATAAATACCAATGTGCAAAAACCCTGTATAATAAGCCTTCTATTAAAAAAAAAAACTGTCATATGTAGACACACTGTATATACTGTATATATCTCCAGGGGGGTCACCATTAGGCAGAACTAGGCAGTTGCCTAGGACCCCAAGTTACTGGGGGCCCAACAAACTCTGTTTACATGTATAGTTATATATATATATTCCTTATTTGTGCACATTAACCATGTTTTTGATAAAAATCCCTATCGCTAAAATGCCATCAGAACGCTTATAATAATAAGTGTGTCTCTTTGAAGCGTTTCGACTCATTGCCAAACTGTATTGATGCTGCATTGATACCGTCTCACAGAATACTGACACCTGCTGGACATTTAAAGACACTACAGGCGGCTTATTGGACAGACTAAACTGTAATGATTTGATGACCGAGTACAGTGATAGAATTGAAGGTTATATTGTATTATCTTATATCTATGTTTAAATTGAAAATATCTTTGATATTTTTTAGATGCAGCCAATAAATAATGTGAAGATATATCATAACTTGAAAATTTAGGGTAAAATTTGAATGAGGATGCTTGTGGACTGGGATTTTAGATCTTAATTTTAAAACAATAAGTGCAGAAAAAACACTACCGGTAAATAACCTAAGATGATAAGTTTATTTACTAAATAAGCTGAATGATAACTGAGAGGGAAAGTATGACACAACAAGAAAATTAAAAATAACAATGCAACAGCTGAAACATTCCTATTCTTTTTAGGCAGCTCCAAAATTCTGGATAATTTTAATGATAAACCTAAAAAAAATTAGGCATTTTGATGCATCATGTTGACAGATACGTTTTTAAACACAATTTAGTGAGTTATAAACAGCTCCTGTATCGGTCACAACTTTCTGCATCAATACTGTGTTTTGCTCTATGGGCTCCATGCATGCACCGACGCATCGGGGTGAATGGACCCATCACTAGTGTTGCCAACTTAGCGCTTTAGTCGCTATATTTAGCCACTTTTCAGACCCCTCTAGCACTTTGATTTCTAAAAAGCGTCTAGCGCCAAATCTAGCGACTTTTTTCTGCTACTGGAGAATTTGGAGACAACATCTAAAAGCAGCGAACTCTGCTCTCCAGAGCAAGTAGATTGGTAACCCCGCCTCCTGCTCTCCTCTATCTTGTCTGCTGTCATGATTCATGCAGCTATTATTTCATCCAAATGAAAAATGGAGAACAGAGAAGCAGATCATGGCTTGTCTACAGTGAAAAGAAGGACTGGGTTATTTACTTTGGCCTTTTTGGAAACACAGGAAGGAGCAATCAGCTAAGTGAGCTTAGTGCTTGGAAAAAATCTTTCATTCCTTTAGAGACAGCATGAAAAGTCAGCTGAGTACAAAACATAGAGAGGAAAACAAGAAGAAAAGGGACAAGAAGAGAGGGACACAACCTAGAACAGATAATGGATGTCTGTTCTATTAACATTTCTCTATCTGTAGAATGAGTCTGTTTTTTGTGTTGTCTTCTCAATTGATCTGGTGTAACAAGTACATTTCTCCAGTGTAATATCAATAAAATCAACCAATCAATCAAACTACTTAAATGTCCGTATGTTTTTGATTCAAGATTTTTACTAAAGTTGCTATTTTATTTTAGAACTGATTTTTCAACTGACTAATTATATGTCCTAATTAAAAGTTGGGATTATAAGATACTTTTAGTTATTGCAGTAATTAAAGGGTTATATAGCATTTTTTCCATTTAGCTGTGAAGTTTTTGGTTTTATATCAATGTTTGTTCTTTGAAACTGATTTTACTCATAAAACTATGATAACATATTAAAATGAATTCCATTTCTTTTTTAAAGCCCTTGTTTCCTTGATGGTGGGTGTGTGTCTTCCTCCTCTGATTGCTGGGTGTTACCGACAGGTGTGTCTGCACAGCTGGAGCTCAAGCGCAGCAAGAAGGAGGTTAAAGAGGAACTGGTTCCTGAGTAAAGATGGCCTCCCATCCCAGTCAGAAAGACCCAAACCAACAGTTAAGAAAATGACAAGTTCAAAACCTCTGGAGCAGAGTCGCAAAAATGCAGAAGACTCATTAATTGTAAAAAAGAAAGATTTTGCTCTTTTCATGTTAGAAGTTATCAATTGTACTCAGATGACAAAGAAAACTAAAAATAAAAATGGTGAAAGCTGCAGAAAAGTATCTTGAAGTTAAAGATTTAAACTGGGAAACGTTTGAAAGTATGATGGGAAAACCAGTAGGACCATCAGAAACTGGCAGAGTGACCAAAACTTAAAGATAAATGAGAAATTATGAGGATGAATTTGATTAAGTATGTTGGGTTAAATTAAACAGTTTGGATAAATATTCATTTATTTTTTTTCCTGGGGGTGAGTCTTGTTTCCTGTTTCCTTGTTCAACTCCAACTTTGTAATGCACTTTAACTACTTTGCCAACCACCATAAAATCTTATAACAAAAAAAGAGTAAAGATGGCCAAATTCAAAGACTTTTTAGACTCCTATTTGTAAAAAGTTTCCTTTTTAAACACTTTTAAACATACCAACAATTTATTTATAGCAAACTGTCCAAATAAAGAGTGTTTGGCAGGGGCGGTTCTAGGATCAGAGGTTTAGGGCTGCTGAGCACCCAGGGAGGTGGCCTGACAGGCAGGATACATTTCACTGTTTTCTTCACACCTTTTCTACACATCGTATCCGAGACTTTTTAGTTTTGTTTTCCTGTGTTTTTACCTTCTTGGACGAGCTGTACGGAAACTTACCTGGCTTTTCCTGACCTTCCACCTTGATCCTCTCCTTCCCCTTGTACACCTCTCTGTCATGTTTGTTTTTAGGTTTCTAACCCACATGCCGAACACACGGACTCTGGGAAAAAGTTCAACAGTTTATTGTTTGACACAATGAGAATAAAGCACTGATTCTGGGGGTTATCAGGTCCAGGACTGGTCACGACTGGTTTCTCTGCAGAGGGGGACAGAATGGTTAGCAGATGTCCAGGTATCTTTGCTGGAAGAATGAGTGCAGGTCTGTACCTGTTCTGAGGTTTGAGCAGAGCGGCAGAGGGGGGGAACCAGGAGGGTCCAGAGGCTGTCGGTAGGCAGAGGGCAAGGCAGAGGCAGAGTTTGGTTTGTAATCTTGCAGATTTGGATCCGAGTTTCTCTTTCAGTTTCTTCTGAGAACGGGCAGGCAGGTATCTGACAGACTTGACTTCCAGAGTTCTTCAGAGATCAGACAGGCTGGTTTCAGACTGAGAAACTCTTCCAAAGTTTCAGGGTTCTGACAGGTTCTTCCTGGGAAGCAGAGAGGACAAAAACAGGTTAGGTTCAGGTTTTCTGGGAGTCAGAGATTCAGACAGGCTGATTGGCTCAGGCTTGCTAACCATAACTGGCAAAACACTCTGGCGCTGGAGTGTTGCTCTGCCTCTCCTTAAATGCTGGTCTCCTGATGAGCAAACGAGCCGCAGGTGTGAAGTCAGCTCCAGCTCCAGGAGACCTAGAACGCCCTCTGTAGGAGAAATGTGGACAGACCTCCAGATCCCAACACTCTCCCTCTTTGGACTGGCAATCCTAAAATGGATCGTATTTAACAAGGTAAATATTTACAGTTGTGCTTGAAGAATTAGACACTCTCAATAAAGAAAAGGATAAATTCTCGACAGTAATTCTAATAACAAGTAACTGAATTTTTTTTTTAAATAAAAGCATACAAAATTATGATGATTTGATAAATTGTAATATTGATTTTGTGTTGTGGTTTTTAAAACTAATGACTTAAAAACAGTCCCAGAAACATTAAAGCACCTAGCTCATGAACATTTCACCAACAAACCGTCAACAGGAGCAGAAATCTGACTAAATATGTAAGAACACCCCTGATTGTAGTGATTCCCTCAACATTTTAGTTTAAGAGCTCCATAATGCCGGTTTACCTGTTTGTTTGTTTATCATTGATATTTCTGTTGAACAACAATTAAAAATTAATGGCACTATTTTTGTTAGTGTTGAATCGATACCGATACCAGTACCGGGCAGGGCCCCGATACAACACTAAAATGGTGTATCGATATCGGCAAACAAATAGCGCACCAATACCATTTTGAGAGCCAAAAGTTTCTTCAACTATTGTCACCCATTCCTGGTAGGCAATAAAAAGTTCTACTGGATTCACTTTGTTTTAGTCTTTTTCCTGCTTCTCAAAGGTAGGCAGCAGCTTGACAAACCATGATGGCAATTATTTTACATCCAAGTATTATGCAGTTCTTCATATATACACACACATCAATTTCAAACAGATGGAATCGGTATTGGCCGATACTACACAGCCAGGTATCGGGGCCAAAAAATGGCATCAGTGAAACACTAAATTTCATTTAATATACTTTTTATATAATTCTTTTCTTATCCAAACACTGTATAGTTTTTATACTGTTCTATATGTAGCTTGTTTTTGTTTTACTTCAATTTAAACAGGTCATATATATGTATATATATGTTTAAATGTATATATCTTTTCATGAAGATGATATATATATATATATATATATAGATAGATAGATAGATAGATAGATAGATAGATAGATAGATAGATAGATAGATAGATAGATAGATAGATAGATAGATAGATAGATAGATAGATAGATAGATAGATAGATAGATAGATAGATAGATAGATAGATATAAACATAAACATATTTTTGGGTTGCTTTGATTCAATTTAGGGTGCTTTTATGTGACATGAAAAGAGGCAATGTCCAAAAGTAATAATGGTAAATGGCATGTACTTATATAGCGTTTTTATTCAAGTCAGGAGACTTGACCAAAGCACTTTACACTACATTCATTCACCAATTCATGCACACACTCACGGTGGCAAGCTACATTGTAGCCACAGCTGCCCTGGGGCACACCGATAGAAGCGGGGCTGCCTACACTGGCACCACCAGGCCCTCTGACCACCATCAGTTGACAATGCAGGTGAATTGTATTGCCCAAGGGCACAACAACACTGAAAGTCGGAGTTGGGGCTTGAACCGTCAATCCTTCGATTTCAGGGCAAACTCCTACATCCAACGCCACTGTCGCCACTCTAGCAGCTCTGCTTCATCATATTTTACTCCAGTAAAAGTATAACGTTGCCTTTAAATTAATTATTCCTATTTATTTATTTATTTATTATTTTATATTATTTTTAATACAGTGAAGCTACTAGATATTACAATGTAAAATACTGACACACACTCTATCCCAGTAGGTGGCTCTTATGCACCAAGACTGGCTACTCACAATAAAAAGAGTTCCACGCATTTCTCTAATCTACCATCAGGGGGCAGCACAAAGCTTCCCTATCATAACAAATCTAATCATCTTCACACGAAGAAGACTTTTTGGGGCCAGCCGTTGCAGCTGAACTGCCAATATAAACATTGGTCCGTCTTTGAGGATTTGTGTGCATTTTATAAGCGTAAACGTTGTTCTTCCAAGGTTTAATTGCAGTTTTGCATTATGATAAGGGAAATGAACCAGGTTTTCGTGTTTGATCTCGATTGTAAGGATTAGAAAGCTAGCAAGGCCTTGATGTTGTCCTGCTAACGGAAGGTAAGAAATGATTTGCTTCATAGAAACAGCTAGCTGGCTAACCCCAAACCCTAGATAAAAACCGAATTATATCCAAGTTTACTACATTTGCATGAGAACCGTTATATAAAATAACACTAAATGTTTTATGTGAATATTTTTATTCCGTTTTTTACCGCAGCGCGGGGCAGGTTTTAGAGCGTTTAAGTCTCGGCTCTAAGTGACAGTCGTTGTTCGGTGCAGAACTTCACCCGGAGCTCCATTGTCTTTTATTATTATTATTCATCTTAGGCTTTTAGCTCAACTCTTGCTCACTAGTGTTTGTAAATGTATTCATGTTTGAGGCTTATTTGACTTTGCGCCTAATAATATTTAGTGGCAGACAGCAGCAGAACTGAATAAAACCTGATCGGGCCTGGTTCTGTAGATCATGGAGGCCCAGATCAGGGATGCTTTAAACCTGCAGCCAGCTGGAATGAATCATGGACAGTTAAGATCTCCCCATCAGTTGAGAAATGGTTTCTTTTTCCATGATTTAACCTGACAGCATCATCAGGATTGGGTTTAGCTGGATAAATGTGGACTGAATGGGCTGGTGCCTGATGGGATATGGAGTCCTTTCCTCTGTCCTTTACTTGGACTATCACATCTTTGTTCATAGTAATGTTTTTATTAAAACAAGTGGAATTTCCTGATCAGAACTAGACTTTATGCTTTAGTTCTTGATGATTCTACTAAGCCACAGTGATAGAGGAGTAGTGATCTAGTGGTGAGAGAGTGGATCCCAAAATGCTGCTCAGTGTTTCCTAACAGGTAGGTTCAGATTAGAGGACTGACTTCATTATAATGTACAACTGAATTAATAAAAGTGACTTTTGTTATTACTATTTTATTGTTAATATTAGAGGAGCTGATCACCTCCTTTAAGGAAACAATTTTACACCCTGTTTGTTAAAAAAAAATGCAACCGCAGGTAGGGATGCACGATATAATCGGCTCCCTATCGGTATCGGCCTTAAAACTGAATATCGGACATCGGCCACCTCACCGATATTTAACCCGATATTTGATCAGCTTCTGAGTTTCTAAAGTAAAAAAAAATATATAATAAATACTACTTCTTCTTTTTCCTCAAAAACTTCTTTTTTTATAGACTTAAAAAAAAATATTGATACATTAAAATATCCCAATATCTTCATATGCTGATATATTGCCATTTAAAAACACCATATCAATCTCTTTTACTAATGAAATATTGCTATATGTCATCGTTATGCTACGAAATCCCCCGAAAATTCACGAAATGTTGCCATATTTTTATATGTTGATATATTGACGCGGTATCGATCTATTTTACTAACAAAATCTCACAGGAATTTGCAAAATATCACGAGAGTTTGTAGCAGAACGATGAAATTTCACGAGATTTTGAAAGTAAAATAGATCGATACCACGTTTTTAAAAACCAATTTGATATCAGCATATGAAAATATATTTGAGTATATTATTTTTCAAAGTGTCAGAAATGGATAACAAAACTGCTATTTTCAATGACTACTTATTTTTGTCCAGCTTTAACATCAGTATCGATATCGGTTATCGGCTACATGAGTTTTAAAATATCGGATATCGGCCAAAATCCCAATATCGTGCATCCCTAACTGCAGGTCATTCATCCCTGCTGAAATCAGACTTACAATGCAGCACGATAACTGTGATAACTAAGGTGTAATCACTATTTATTACCCTGTGCAATAACCTGTTTATATTTAACACCTTGTGCAATAACTATATATAAATACCTATTAATAAAAAATTAATAAAAATCTGTCGATTATTATTTTTTTTAAATTAATAATCAGATAGCTAAAGGTTCCTTAAAGAACAGTTTTTTACGAAATTCAACCAGGATAAACTACAACTTTTCCTTTTGAGGAGTTCTGGACAGAGAATGTTGACAGATGAAAACGTTATTTTTTTTTAATCTTAAATGCAAATTGTTTATAATATTAGTGTTGCGCCGATGCTATTTTTTGGCCACGATACCTGGCTGTGCAGAATCGGCCGATACCGATACCATCTGTTTGTAATTGTTGTGTGTGTATATATGAAGAACTGCATACTACTTGGATGTAAAATAATTGCCATCATGGCTTCAAGCTGCTGCCTACCTTTGAGAAGCAGGAAAAAGACTAAAACAAAGTGAATCCAGTAGAACTTTTTATTGCCTACCTAGAATGGGTGACAATAGTTGAAGAAACGTTTGGCTCTCAATATGGTATCAGTGCCCTATTTGTTGGTACTCGCTGATACCGATTACACCATTTTAGTGCTCGATCGATAAATATATATATATATTTTATTTATTTATTTATTTTTTTTTTACAAATTTGTATAATGACTGCTCTAAGTGGGTTGTTCTGTCAGCTTAATTCGTCTTTTACTGTCTCTACAGGTGCTGGTCATAAAATTAGAATATCATGAAAAAGTAGATTGATTTCAGTAATTCCATTTAAAAAGTGAAACTTGTATATTATATTCATACATTACATACAAACTCATATATTTCAGATGTTTATTTTGTTTAATTTTGATGATTACAAATGACAACAAATGAAAATCTCAAATTCATCATATCAGAAAATTAGAATATTACTGAAGACCAATAAAAACAAAGGATTTATAGAAATGTTGGCCAACTGAAAAGTATGAACATGAAAAGTATGAGCATGTACAGCACTCAGTATTTAGTTGGGCCTCCTTTGGCCTGTATTACTGCAGCAATGCGGCGTGGCATGGAGTCGATCAGTCTGTGGCACTGCTCAGGTGTTATGATAGCCCAGGTTGCTCTAATAGTGGCTTTTAGCTCTTCTGAATTGTTGGGTCTGGTGTATTGCATCTTCTTCTTCACAATACCCCATAGATTTTCTATGGGGTTAAGGTCAGGAGAGTTTGCTGGCCAATTAAGAACAGGGATACCATGGTCCTTCAACCAGGTACTGGTAGCTTTGGCACTGTGTGCAGGTGCCAAGTCCTGTTGGAAAATGAAATCTGCATCTCCAAAAAGTTGGTCAGCTGCAGGAAGCATGAAGTGCTCTAAAACTTCCTGGTATGTGGTTGCGTTGACCCTGGACCTCAGAAAACACAATGGACCAACACCAGCAGATGACATGGCACCCCAAACCATCACTGACTGTGGAAACTTTACACTGGACTTCAAGCAACGTGGATGAAGTGCCTCTCTTCTTTTCCTCCAGACTCTGGGACCTTGATTTCCAAAGGAAATGCAAAATTTACTTTCATCAGAGAACATGACTTTGGACCACTCACCAGCAGTCCAGTCCTGTTTCTCTTTAGACGCTTCTGACGCTGTCTGTGGTTCAAGAGTGGCTTGACACAAGGAATGCGACAGCAGAAACCCATGTCTTTCATACGTCTGTGTGTGGTGGTTCTTGAAGCACTCACTCCAGCTGCAGTCCACTCTTTGTGAATCTCCCCCACATTTTTGAAGGGGTTTTGTTTCACAATCCTCTCCAGGGTGCGGTTATCTCTCTTGCTTGTACACTTTTTTCGACCACATCTTTTCCTTCCCTTCGCCTCTCTATTAATGTGCTTGGACACTGAGCTCTGTGAACAGACAGCCTCTTTAGCAATGACCTTTTGTGTCTTGCCCTCCTTGTGCAAGGTGTCGATGGTCGTCTTTTGGACAACTGTCAAGTCAGCAGTCTTCCCCATGATTGTGTAGCCTATAGAACTAGACTGAAAGACCATTTAAAGGCTTTTGCAGGTGGTTTGAGTTAATTAGCTGATTAGAGTGTGGCACCAGGGGCCATCAATTTTGAACCTTTTCACAATATTCTAATTTTCTGATATAATGAATTTGAGATTTTCATTTGTTGTCATTTGTAATCATCAAAATTAAACAAAATAAACATCTGAAATATATGAGTTTGTATGTAATGTATGAATATAATATACAAGTTTCACTTTTTAAATGGAATTACTGAAATCAATCTACTTTTTCATGATATTCAAATTTTATGACCAGCACCTGTATACTCCAGTTAACGATTAATCGATTACTAATTTAGTTGAGGATTATTTCAATGATCGATTAATCTGATTAATTGTTTCAACCTTACTTTGGATGCACTAACCTTTCATTTGTAGGCAAAGTTACTGCAAAGGAAATATTTTAGTCAGTAAAAGTATTAAAATGCTTAGAGGTTGTGATTAGATGGGCTTCGTTACTCTGGAGTGAACTGATGATCTGTTGGCTGACCCGTCGTATCCTCATTCCTCTCTCAGCCAATGATCCAGCTGGAGAAACCAGTTCTGACTGGTACCATGCCGGTCGTGTGGCCCACCATCCTCGACCTGGGAAGGGACGAGTGTAAAAGAATTCTGCGTAAACTCGGTAAGGTTCATAAACAAGGAATCTGAGAAGAAAAACAATCGTTACTAACAATAAATGAAGTTTGAGCAGCTTTTATTCTCTATTAGCTGTGATGTAATGAAACATCCGTTCTGTTTCTCTTTACATTGAATGTTGCCACATCCAGAGCTGGAGGCATACGCTGGAGTTATTAGCGCCCTGCGAGCTCAGGGAGACCTGACAAAGGACAAGAAGGACATCCTGGGAGAGCTCACTAAGATCCTCAGGTATTTACCGTATTCCTAATAAAAAGCCTCTAAAAAAGTGCACAGATTTAAATGTGATTTAATTTCTTTCTTCCTCATTTGAAAAGCATCTCAACAGAGCGCCATCGCGCAGAAGTTCGCAGGGCCGTTAACGATGAACGCCTCACCACCATCGCCTATCAGTAAGTTCCCTTCCTGGTGACCTTTAACCTCTCAAAATCCACCCGATCGCCGACGTTTCTACGGCAATTACAACTAATAACTCAGAATGCATGAAAATTACACCAGTAAAATGTTTACCAATATAGACATGTTAGACCTCGTTGGAAAGCTTAGATTCTCCACAATTCAAACACCTAGTTCATTTTATGGACACAACGAGCATCAAAGCACAATTAACACAGATATAGCAACATGTCAAAATGTAAACATGACAAAGCAGCCACAGTTACATACCTTTGAAGGCGTCCAGAAGCCGTTTTATAAATCCAATCTTCAATCATTTCTACTCCATTCGTCCATAAGGATTCACAGATTAAAAGTAATTCAGAATATTAATAATAAAAATATTCTATGATGAGAAAATCGCCACATAATGTAAATTTTTTGACATTGGAAAAGTTAGCTGGTCATAGCTAATGCTTAGCATCCGCTCTGATATTTTTAAAGTTTGGACGCTGTTTTTTTTTTTTTTATTGCAATGCCTGAGGCCAAAAAAAACCCCCAAATAAAGCTCAGAAAAGGCACTGGGGCAGATTTTAGCTTGAAAAGCAGCATTTTCACTATTTTCTATAAAAGTTTATGTTATTTTAGGTTTATAAATGTTACATTTGTTCTAAACACTGATTCTGGGAAAAAAAGGGGAAAATCACTTGCTTCATAAATGTTTTGTGGCCATTAAAATGCTTCAGTGTTATTCTATACGGAAGAGGATTAGGGCCACTGGGAAAAAAAAAAAAAAGGTAACTGATTTTTAAATTTTATTTCAGTTTAATATGGGAATAAAAAGTCAGAATTCTGACTTAATCTCAGAATTCTGACAGCTAACAAACATGTTAGCATCAATCTGTAGCCATGTCTTTTTTTCATTTTCCACCAATGTGTCACTGGCCACCTCAAACAACTCACATCTTTGTCAGTGAAGCTGAGTGCTCTACATCTCTTTCTTCATGGTGCCCATCTACATTAAGATCCACAATTCTGCGAAAAAAATTCAGAAGTCTGAGAAAAAAATTCAGAATTTTGATATTAAAGTCATAATTCTGAGAAAATTCCCATGTTAAACTGAAATGAAATTTAAAAATCAGTTAACTTTTTTTCAATTCTATGTGTGAAATAGTTGAATAAAAGCATTTGGCACTATTTGGAGAGATTAAGAGATGCTGGTGACACCAAAAGTTTAAAGCCCCACAGCTCTGGAACTGTTGTAACTAGAGGTCAGAGATTTTCTGCATATGCGGTCGACATGATGTAGAACAAATGTAATACAATGCAACATGCCTATTCTAAAGCTTGTGATTATTGCTGCTGTTCAAAATAGACCTATCATTTTCAAGAATAAAACAACAACTTTGTATCATGTTTGAACTGATGCAGCTTAAGCTGTGTTTAACTCACCCTATTTTCATTTAATATATTCAGAGATTAGAAGGTGTTAGCTTTCAAATAATGTATCACAAGTGTAATTTAGGCTTACAGTTCCTTGGGTTTTTTGCTTTTCCTTTTGGGTATGCAAAATAGGCGAGGATCACTTCAAGATTTGCACCGTGTCTTAGGGCCGGATCTATCAAAGCTTTGCGTGTATAAAAACGTGAGCTATTTCACTGCGCACGCTAAAAAATGTACAAACTGATCTATCAACAGCGCGCTAAAATGATTTGGTCTTTAAAACGTGCTAAATAGCGCCTCTTATCCATTTAGTACTTTTTCTGCAATGAATATGCAATATGGGGCGTTTACACGCAAAAGTGCGTCTTGTGGGAGGAGAACATGTAAATATATTAATTTAGCACTCGCAAAGTGATTTATTAAACCTGAAAGCAATTTTGCTAACGGTATCTGACTCTATATTTAACACGTTTCAAAAGAAGGTGCAAATGGTCTGTATGCGTAATTGCGCACACATGGCAGCGGTTGTTGTCGCAAGAAGGAGACATCAAAATGAAGCAAGGAGACGCAGAGAACGCATTTTTTCACTCCGTGTGAATATTTTTGGAATGAACGAGGAAACGATCATCAAAACATATGGTTTATCCAGCATTGCCATTTTGGAGCTGTTGGGGGAACTCCGAATGGATTTGGAGTCAGCCACAAGCAGGATCCACGCAATACCAGATATCCCTAACCTCTGCAACATTGCACTTTTTTGCATCTGGGTCATTCCAGCGTACGGTTGCAGCGAGAGCTGGGATCTCCCAATCTCGTTTTTCAGAAGTGCTGTCCGACCGGGTCGGGGTTCTCCCCCTGCACCTGTGGAGCAAGATGCCAATGCTGCGGGGATGCATACGCACAGTAATCTCATCCACAGTCACTTCTTGTGAGCCATTTGGTATGTGCATTTTTCTACAGGCCAATACAAAACAACAGTTTTTTTTTTTTTTTTTTTTTTTTTTTACTGCAGTGAAGTAGAAATTCAGCCACATACCACCTTAGGGAATAAAGGTTGCCGAAGTTTTTTCTTTACACACACACACACACATATATATATATATATACTCACCGGCCACTTTATTAGGTACCCCATGCTAGTAACAGGTTGGACCCCCTTTTGCCTTCAGAACTGCCTCAATTCTTGGTGGCATAGATTCAACGAGGTGCTGGAAGCATTCCTCAGGGAGTTTGGTCCATATTGACATGATGGCATCACACAGTTGCCGCAGATTTGTCGGCTGCACATCCATGATGCGAATCTCCCGTTCCACCACATCCCAAAGATGCTCTATTGGATTGAGATCTGGTGACTGTGGAGGCCATTTGAGTACAGTGAACTCATTGTCATGTTCAAGAAACCAGTCTGAGATGATTCCAGCTTTATGACATGGCGCATTATCCTGCTGAAAGTAGCCATCAGAAGTTGGGTACATTGTGGTCATAAAGGGATGGAAATGGTCAGCAACAATACTGTGGCGTTGCAACGATGCTCAATTGGTACCAAGGGGCCCAAAGAGTGCCAAGAAAATATTCCCCACACCATGACACCACCACCACCAGCCTGAACCGTTGATACAAGGCAGGATGGATCCATGCTTTCATGTTGTAGACGCCAAATTCTGACCCTACCATCCGAATGTCGCAGCAGAAATCGAGACTCATCAGACCAGGCAACGTTTTTCCAATCTTCTATTGTCCAATTTCCATGAGCTTGTGCAAATTGTAGCCTCAGTTTCCTGTTCTTAGCTGAAAGGAGTGGCACCCGGTGTGGTCTTCTGCTGCTGTAGCCCATCTGCCTCAAAGTTCCACGTACTGTGCGTTCAGAGATGCTCTTCTGCCCACCTTGGTGGTAACGGGTGGATATTTGAGTCACTGTTGCCCTTCTATCAGCTCCAACCAGTCTGGCCATTCTCCTCCGACCTCTGGCATCAACAAGGCATTTCTGCCCACAGAACTGCCGCTCACTGGATGTTTTTTCTTTTTCGGACCATTCTCTGTAAACCCTAGATATAGTAGTAGTATAGTATAGCGTAGAGATGGTTGTGCGTGAAAATCCCAGTAGATCAGCAGTTTCTGAAATACTCAGACCAGCCCTTCTGGCACCAACAATCATGCCACGTTCAAAGTCACTCAAATCACCTTTCTTCCCCATACTGATGCTCGGTTTGAACTGCAGGAGATTGTCTTGACCATGTCTACATGCCTAAATGCAATGAGTTGCCGCCATGTGATTGGCTGTTTAGAAATTAAGTGTTAACGAGCAGTTGGACAGGTGTACCTAATAAAGTGGACGGTGAGTGTATATATATATATATATATATATATATATATATATATATATATATATATATTTGTTGGGTGTTACTGTAAGATTTACATTTTTTAATTCACTAGTTTGTAGAAACTACAAACTACTTTGCCGCAAACCACAAAACGCGCAAAACCATAATTTAAATAGGGCGTCTCCAACAGTTTTGCACCTGCCACCAGTTACGCAATCACTCTTGTTAAATCACCAGCAAACCATGGTTCAGCCCCTCACGCAAAATTCCAGTTTGCGAGCGCAAATTACTGCACGCAAAATTGGATCTTGATAAATCCGGCCCTTAATCCTGCATTTCTAACCAGTGGAAATGCAGCAGAGAGGAGCAGATGGCTGATCATCGGAGCTAAATAAATCAAAACAAATCCACAAGATGGTTTAATATGTTTGAGGCAAACTCAGGACTGCCATATTTCTTGAAAATGATTTCTGTCAAAAGAAGCACGCTATTATTGTGACTGACTGGCTTCCCCGCAGACTTTAAATGTCTATATTCTAAGTTTAGTATTTTTTTGTGTTCTGTCTGCTTTTCTACAAAATCAAAATAAAGAAATAAATTCCTATCAAAATGCTTGTTGCTGTATAAACAACAATGGCTGAAAGGTGGAGGTTACCATGTTGCTCTGTCTTTTTCCAGCATGTCTGGTCCCAACAACTCATCGGAATGGTCCATCGAAGGACGCAGACTCGTTCCTTTGATGCCGAGGCTGGTCCCTCAGACGGCCTTCACGGCCACGGCTAATGCTGTGGCCAGTGCCACAGCCAATCAGAACGCCTCCTTTCTGTTGCCGGCAGAAACAGGAAACAAAGAAGGTAAGGTTCTTTACCGACCAGATGCATGGTGTCAAAGTGTTTTACACAGACTAATAAGTTTGGATTTATTAAACAAACTAGACAATAATTAAGGTATTAACATTGTAGTATTGTAAAAGTGATTAAAAACTAAAAGCACACTGTTGAATATTCTCAGTTATTTCAGCTCCAAGGTTTAGAAAAAGCTGAAAGTCCAGGTATTGATAGATTGAGGTTCCCAGGTGTTAGATAAAGCAATGTGTTGTCTTCTATTTTGGCTTTCCAGTGGTCGTATGTTACTCCTACACGAGCACCACCTCCACCGCCACCAGCGCCACGGCGACTAGCGGACCTCTTGGAGCGTCTGTGAAATCCCAGAGACCCGCCAGCCCGTCGTCCAATGTGGTCGTGCTGCCCAGCGGGAGCACGGTCTACGTGAAAAGTTAGTGTCTCCATCCAATCTATGAGAATCCGCTGCAGTAGAACCTATGTATGGAAGCAAATCGTTACCATATTTCAAATGAAAAAGCATTTTCAGAAATTCTTTTTCATTTTAAGAATGTGGCTGCATTGTTTGGCTCATAAATTAATTTAGTAATCAATAATCCTGTTTGCATTTTAATTTTCTTCTTCAACACTGCTCATCGTTTTACTTAATTAAAATGAAAAAGAAGACATTTGGGATTTATTTTTCAAAATGTACCCCAGCAAATACATACCAAAATTCAATTTGAAATGTAAAATTTGAAAATGAAAAAGCATTTCCAGAAATGCTTTTTCATTTTAAATGTGGTAGCAATTTGCTTCCATACCTATAATGATTATTGATGGAGGATAACAAGCTGGATTCCTCCTTAAATAAATTGCATTTCTATTCTGTTCTAAATATCATGTAGTAAATTTATTGTAAATATCTGCTTTTAGACTTTTGGAAGCAAATCGTTACCATATTTAAAATGTACCCCAGCAAATACATACCAAAATTCAATTTGAAATGTAAAATTTGAAAAAGCATTTCTGGAAATGCTTTTTCATTTTAAATATGGTAACGATTTGCTTCCATACACCTATAATGATTATTGATGGAGGATAACAAGCTGGATTCTTCCTTAAATACATTGATTTTCTATTCTGTTCTAAATATCTGTAGCAAATTTATTGTGAATATCTGCTTTTAGACTTTTGGAAGCAAATCGTTACCATATTTAAAATGTACCCCAGCAAACACATACCAAAATTCAATTTGAAATGTAAAATTTGAATATGGTAGCGATTTGCTTCCATACATACGGTATAATGATTATTGATGGAGGATAACAAACTGGATTCTCCCTAAAATAAATGGATTTTCTATTCTGTTCTAAATATCTGTAGTAAATTTATTGTGAATATTTGCTTTTAGACTTTAAGATAAATAGAGATGATAGAAAATATCTGCTGGTGCAGATTCCCAGTCATCCAGGTCATAATCATAAAAAAAAAAAGTGAAAAAAAAAAAACAATCCACTGGACTTTGTTTCTAAGTTTGAAGACGTTTCGTTTCCCATCCAGGAAGCTTCTTTTTTTTTTTTTTAGCAAACCTGCACGTTGAAATCGGAAAAGCAGCTCCACCCCTTAATAACGGCGGCCGTTGAGGTCGTTTTTGGCCTGCAATACCCGACACTGTCCCATTCCTCTGAAAAGGCAGTCCATAAGGGTCATTGTTGGCCTGGATGACATGGAGAGATATTTTGTTCCCCTGCATAGCGATTTAGAGGGTTTTGAGAAGGAATCAACTCTATCGCTGCGCTGTAGGTTTCTGACAGCTGGACCCTGGCTCCACCCCCTCTATTTAAGGTTGCTTTTTCTCTTTTAACATAAATGGCTTCCTACACGCTGCTTTCAAACCACCTGTTTTCTTTTTATTTAAAATCTAAACATTTTCTTCCTCAACTCAACGCTAATCCAGACATTTTGAATTGAAAAAGCTTCCTGGATGGGAAAAGACACATCTTCAAACAGTGGATTGTTTTTTAACTTGAACTTTTTGGAAGAATTTCAATCAACCTTAAATCAGTTGAGAAGCTTCTTATTTCATAATTTTTATATACTCAATATGAATGTCAACAAGGCCGCTGAACTTTTCTCAGTCCAGAGTGTCTTTTGCTTAAAGGAATAGTACACCCAAAACATGATTAGCCTTCATTTTCTACTCACCCCCATGCTGAACAACACTCTGGAGTACTTTTCTGATATCTCAAATGCATCTGGAGATCTGGGAGGCTTCTTGCTGTCTGCTGACATTCAAATAATGGAGGTCTATGGCGCCCGAGACAGAAAGGTCCATAAAAGTCCACAAAAAACGTGTCAATATTCCTCCATACTGCTCGTCCAATGTATTCCAAGTGTCCTGAGTGGGTAGCATCCAGAATTTACTCGAAACGAAGTCATTTAGAATGTTTTTAGAGCATAAACAGTAGTGTATAGGATTTCCTGAAAGCGCGTTCACGAGTCTACGGAAACCGCGGCAGACCAAACCAGATGAAAGTGCGCATTCAGCTCGGCAAAGAACTCATGCTCTTCCTCAACACTGAAGTCCTCCGACATTTTTCTTTCGTTGTTTCTTTCTTTGCACAGGTAAACGGCACATTTCTTCTTCTACGCTTGCATTATCGGCAGAGCAGACGCCGAATGCGCACTTTCATCTGGTTTGGTCTGCCGCGGTTTCCGTAGACTCGTGAACTCGCAGGTGCGCGCTTTTAGGAAATCCTATACACTACTGTTTATGCTCTAAAAACATTCTAAATGACTTTTTTTCGAGTAAATTATGGATGCTACCCACTCAGGACACTTGGAATACATTGGCCGAGCAGTATGGAGGAATATTGACACGTTTTTTGTGGACTTTTATGGACCTTTCTGCCTCGGGCACCATAGACCTCCATTATTTGAATGTCAGCAGACAGCAAGAAGCCTCCCAGATCTCCAGATGCATTTGAGATATCAAAAAAGTGCTCCAGAGTGTTGTTCAGCATGGGGGTGAGTAGAAAATGAAGGCTAATTATTGTTTTGGGTGTACTATTCCTTTAAACCTTTTAAAAGGTTTCTATAACATGCAGACGATTTCAACATAAATATTTTTCTAACAATCCTCTCATTGGCCTGCAGAGGGCAGTATAACCTTCCCTAATTGGAGAATTTTCTCATTCTTCTCTCATTTGCTGCAAAAGTTATTACATTTCTTGGTGGAAATATATGTTTTTAAAATTACATATAAGTTTTGCCTTTTAATGGGGAAAAAGTAATGTTAATTAAGTAGTGAAATCTTTCACATGTAATATATTTAAAGATTATTAAGTTAGACTCCTTGGACCTTATACAGTGGCTTTAAAAAATGTAGCTAAAATGATTAAATAAAAATTAAAAATGATTAATTAAAAATTGATTCTTTTAAATATACCTGTAGTAAAAAAAATACAGGTATTCACAATTGTTTTGTTTTTTCTACAATAGAATAGCAATGAAAAGTACCGTAATACATTTTAGATCTATTTTTCATGTTATTGCGTGGAAAAATAATGTGCTTTTTTTTTTAATCACACCTCCAGATTTTAGTTTTCACAGGAAGAATGTACCCTGATTTAGCATAATTTATTGTTTTTCTTCCTTTTGAAGCATAGAAATTAAAATAAGATAGTGATTATTTTAAAAGGATGACAACTTTTTAATGGTAGACGTTTAACAGAGGAATTTATTAAGCTTCACTTAATATTAGAAGCTAGACAAATTTTATTTAGATTTACTGAAAGTAAAAATACCTAACTGCACATGCAAACACTGAAGAACACTGAGTTAAATTATCTACAGACAATTCAATGCATATTTTTTGTTAAGTTATTGGGAATAACTGACAATATTTCCACATAAATGCCACCAATTTAGTGTCGCTACATGCAGACAGTATAATTCTGATTAATGCTTTATGTATCGATTGATGTTACTTAACTCAGCTGTTGTTTTTCCAGCTTGGAGCTGTTAGATAACTGTAAACTTTGATGATTGATTAACTTCCCTAAATAAAACCAGTATTTGATGCCAAGGTAAACATATGTTTTCTGTAGCTTTAACCCAGAAAATGCCAGATGTGCACAAATGGGTTTAAAGTCATGCCCATGTTTGGTCACTTATCTGGACTAGTTGACCGTTTGCCTCCTAAGGTCATCAATAAGCTTCTCTCAGGGGTTTGCAGATGAAACTTTGAAGCCAGTTGTAAAGATGGGTGATGTCTCCATGTCTCTAACACAGATGGAACTTGGCTGTTAAAGGAAATATTCCAACAGTTTAAAAAGTGAAACCTTCAAGATGTTTTATTGCATCATTTCCTCAACTACCAAACAGGCCTGTTTCCACCATTTCATGCACTTTTACTAAACTAGTCGAGCTGTTGCTCCTTTTTCCTGAACGTTGACTTTAACAAAGACAGCTCTGGATTTTTTTTATTTCAATTCAGTTTATTTCTATAGCGCCGATTCACATCATGTCATCTCAGGTCACTTTCTAGTTCATCCAGATCATCCAGTCAAATTGATGCAAAGTTTTCTATCTAGGAAAGCCAGTTGGTTGCATCGACTTGTTGACTCCCTCACACTAAGCATGCTTGTAGCGACAGTGGAGAGGAAAAACTCCCTTTGAACAGGAAGAAACCTCCAGCAGAACCAGGCTCAGTGTGAGCGGCCATCTGCTGAGGCCCACTGGGGTTCAAGGAGACAGAAGCAGACATAGAAAAAGAAGCATAGATACAAAAGGCAACTGTAAAAGGCGGCCCCATCCAGGAAACACACAGCCAGGCAGACGAGCTCCGAGCCAGCTCCCATGTCAGAGGATGAAGAGAGCACATCCAGTTAGTCACAGTCAGAGAAACAGGACTACACTGGAAAAAAACAGGCCGATCTCCAACATCTAGAAACAAAGGTGTTGATGGCAGCAGCACAGCTGATATTTCTCTCCAGGATGGAGTCACAGCCAAACAGGAACAGACCAGATAAAGCTACTATGAGAAAAAGCAGAGAGAGCAGAACGTTAGAAATTGAACTAACAGATTCTGCAGAGTGGGAGAATAGAGATAGAATGAAGCAGAATGATGAAATACACTGCAAAAACGATCTAGAAATAAGTCAAAATGTCTTAAATTAAGTGTATTTACTCTTGCTTTGAGTAGGTTGATAAGATGTTTTGCCAATGGAATGAGAATTTTCACTCTTAAAATAAGGTAATTAGATAATATACACTTGAAATAAGACAACGAAATAGTTTTTTTTCTTATTTTAAATGCAAATTGTCTCGTTCCATTGGCAAAGTGTCTCACTTACCACCTCAATTCAAGAAAAAACGCACTTATTTAAAGAAAAAATGACTTATCTAGACATCAATTTTTCCCAGTGTAGGGGTCCCTATGTCCTCCAGCAGTCTAAGCCTATAGCAGCATAACTTATTTATTTCTTGGCCCATCCCAAATGTTTCATTCAGCAGTGCACCCCATAGCATGATGCTCCAGTAAGCAGCAGGTATAGATACGTTTATAAAATAGAATATACATCATCTGCTTTAGATAAAAACTGCATTTTTATCTATATGTATTTGATTTTAAGAGCAGAACCCGATCCCTGTTATCAGAGGAAACTGATTTTGACGTTTCCATAAGATCTGTGAGTTCCTGCTCCGCTTTCTTCACAGGTGTAAGTTGTTCCGACGATGATGAAAAGCCTCGCAAACGAAGACGCACAAACTCGTCTAGCTCGTCGCCGGTGTTGCTGAAGGATGTGACCAAGGTGTCGCCGTCGGTGTCTAAGAACATCACGGTGCCGGTGAGCGGCAGCCCCAAGATGAGCAACATAATGCAGAGCATCGCCAACTCCCTCCCCCCTCACCTGTCCCCCGTCAAAATCACCTTCACCAAACCCGCCCTCCAGACCACCAGCACCACCACACAGAAGGTCAGCTGCGTTTCTTTACATATCTGGGCGGTTATAGCTCTAAACATTCTTCACAAACGTTCAAACGTCTTGTTTTACACCAGGTGATCATCGTGACGACTTCCCCGAGCTCCGGCTTTGTGCCCAACATCCTGTCTAAGTCTCACACCCATAACGCCGCCGCCATGGCCAAGCTGGGCTCCACCTCCATTCTAACCACCCCCACACAGAAACAGACGGTGGTCTTCCCTGCCAGCTCCTGTCCCTCCAGCACCGTCGCCGTGACGACGGTGGTCTCCTCCACTCCATCAGTGGTGATGTCCACTGTGGCACAATGTAGGTGTTTTATTGGGAATAGAAACCTAGATTATCCAAACAAACATGGCTGTTTATGATTGTTCTCTAAGGATTATGACTCTTTTTTTATTCTTTTAATCCATATCTAATACTAGCATAGAAGGTTTGCACCAATCAAGCTTCTCTGAGCTTCATCATTTATTCATCATCAGGTTTGTCGTTTTTTCTGAGGTTTAACTGTCTGCATTTCTGCCTCATTATGCAAATTAGGAAGGGTGTGTCTTAGAGGGTCAACATCTGCCCATTTGATTGCTTAACATTTTACTGCGTCGGTCGAATCTACAAGAGGAGAGGAGAGTTTTTCAATTTACTAGAACCTGAGCACGGACTCTTGTTCTCGCCAAGTACGTTCTTGAGCAGAACCCTGAAAGTCTAGACCGGGGGTCACCCACGCAGTGCCCACGGGACCAAGGAGCCCTCCAGGACCACATGGGGGGCCCTCAGCATCTTCTGAAAAAAGAACAACTCACTTTGAAACTTAATTTTATTCTGTTGCTCTTCTTTTTTAATAATTTATAGAGCCTTTAAGCATTTATAAACATTTTAAAACGACAATACCTTAAAGGAAATAAAAAATTAAAATAAAAAATAAAAATATGTTTATTATAAATCAAGTTTGAATGCTGATCCCTCCAGTTATTAGTTGCCCTTCTTGTGACCCAGCATCCTTGAAGAAGCCCTCAGCCTTAAAAAGGTTTGTGACCCCTGGTCTAGACTCTGGGAGCACGCAGCATAAATCTGGGTCAATTGGAACAGAAGCGTACTGATGACATCACCACACTCTCGGCTAGTCACCTCCTGTTATCAATAGTCTCTGGATGATAATAAATTCTGACTTTTTCATTTATTGGAGGAATAATAATGAACACAGTCAGATAAACACAAATCAAATGAACATTTTGCCAAATAAAACAAGAAAATCTCCATCAGAGCCAGCAGTCCTTCACACACGGCTATGCAGAGAGAGGGCCGCTGCTAACGTTAGCCCTGGTCGCTGCAGACGGGCTAACGTTAGCCCTGGCTACTGCAGACGGGCTAACGTTAGCCCTGGCTACTGCAGACGGGCTAACGTTAGCCCTGGCTGCTGCAGACGGGCTAACGTTAGCCCTGGCTGCTGCAGACGGGCTAACGTTAGCCCTGGCTACTGCAGACGGGCTAACGTTGGCCCTGGCTACTGCAGATGGGCTAACGCTGGCCCTGGCTGCTGCAGACGGGCTAACGTTAGCCCTTGCTGCTGCAGACGGGCTAACGTTAGCCCTTGCTGCTGCAGACGGGCTAACGTTAGCCCTGGCTACTGCAGACGGGCTAACGTTAGCCCTGGCTGCCGTTAGCCTCGGAGCTCCGCTGGTTGCTGCGGTCCTCTCAACATCGGGACTTTTTTTTTTTAAATTATGCATTAAATCGGTAAATGGGCCATATAGTGACGCTTCAAAGTATAATGTTCTCGCCTCAAATGATCTTAAAGCGTACTTTTATCGAACAACAGCAACAGAAAGAGAACTTTTAACTTAGTACTCTGAGCTCTGTGATTTACGAAGATGAGCCGCCAACCAATGAGCAGTTGACTCTCTTAGACACACCCCCTCCTCATTTGCATAATGAGGCAGAAATTGAAAAAAGCGACAGGAAGAAATAAACAGCATTGAAGAAATAAATAGGGTAAAAAATATAAAGGAAGAATAAACCAGACAAAATAAATAAATAAATACTTAAACAAATAAGTAATTAATAAATAAATTGAAGATTATAACGGACAATAAATGAATAAGGTAATTATTACAAAGGCGAATAAATGAATAAGCTAATTAAGAGATTCATACATTTATGTCTCACTGTATAATTTCATTTCTACCTACATTTATTTGTTTATTGTATTTTTGGGGGCAGTAAAATTGTATGCTTATTTATTTCTTGAGCATTTATTTTTTTCTGTATTTATTTTTAAATGTGGCAGAGCTGGTCCTCCATAACTGAAGGACTGAATGATGCCAATATGGCGGAGCGGTGCTTATAGAGTAGAGGATTGTGGTTCTTCTAACTGGGCTTCTTGCTTAATTGATCTCTGTGTTCAACCTCACACTAATCTTTCTTTCATATTTCAATACTATTTGGTGCTTCTGTTATTAAAATGTGAGAGTGGTGATATTAACCCTTTGAAACTATTGTTGTTAATTGTTCATATATATTTGGACGTCAAGGGATAAGAAGTAGATAAAGTTGAGAGGTGCCCACTGGGTACCAGCTGCACCGCCCGCCACTGGGTGAAGAGGGTTTGTTTTTCAAAATGTTCAAATAAGCCAATATGAAAAATTTAATTAATTAAAGAATTAAAATGTGCAGTTTGTGTGATTTTGAGAGAAAGAGAGAGCGTATTTTAAGAGTCAAACCTTTACGAGAAGCTGGGTTAAACTGAATAAGGATGAGTATTTAACATTCACAATAACAATGAATTTAAGAAGAGACCAAATAAAGCAGAAATTTAAGCCCTGGAAACATTATGTTAGTATGTGAGTACACTGCTTCCAGAGTGGTCCTCATTCCCACACTGTTGGTTTTTGTAGGTGCAGCTTCTGCCGGAGTGAAGGTTGCTTCAGCGAGGCTCCCATCGCCGAAGACCCTGGTCGGCTCCCCCACCCAGATCCTGGCCCAGTTCCCCAAACAGCAATCCCCCAAACAGCTGCAGCAGAGCTCGCCTTTAGGAGCCTCCAGTATCACTCAGAGCCAGGCCAACACCACCCCTCCATCAGGAGCCAAACCCACCATCCAGATCAAACAGGAATCTGGTGAGAGGTTTTTTTGTCTCTATTTGTTCCATCTTAAAGGGGTCATAGAATGCAAAGAGTTTCCATTGTCATAGAAGAATAACGATAGTTCAGTGGGTGAAATGGACGTACAGAGAAGTTCAAACCCATCAACACCTCATTTCTCTGCAAATCTCACAATTCTAAGCTTCCACCATTAAAACAGGAGAATCCAAACGAAGCACCGAGTTGACGTCAAATCAGGGATGTTGCCTTTTTTCGTTCTGGCCTGTACTTTTATTATGCTCCGAACTTTACATAAAGACCACCCCACTGGTTCACTGGTGGTGGTGCTGGACTGCTGACTGGACCGGACCGGGCCCCAGCGGGGGACCGAACCCGACCCGGTGACTGTATGCTCCCCCCCTTCCATGCTTCCTGGGAAGCCTGGGTTCGTTCGTTCCGTCCTCCGCTGGCTCAGTTTCGACTAAGTGCTGCACTGTAGTCGACCAAAAACCCAGACGATTTTTAAATCCCCCCCCGAACATTTTTTTTAGGTCTTAAAAGTAGGACATGTCAGGGGGAAAAAAGAGGTCGTCTGGTCACCCTACCATATCAACAATCTGATGTTTCAGTGAGTGAGTGCTTGTTGCTATGATGCGTCTTTGCTCAGCAGCTTCGCTCGTTGTAAACCAACCAATCAGAGCACAGCTCATCTAAATATTCATGATCATTCCATAAAAGGAAGAAAACCTGTTGTTTCATTCTAGGGCTTTTAACCAGGCTGCATTAGAGCTCATAGAACAGCTAATATGCCATTTTCAGCCCAACCAATGTTACGCACCCTATTAGAGACCTGAAGGACCAGATACCCTATAGAATCATTCTATCACCTCTTTAATGTCCTGATTTTTATTCCCCTTCTTTGAAGTGATTTTCTCTTTGTCTGTTGAACTGCTTGTCTGATGTGTTAAATATGGTCGTATGCTCGGAGATTTCACCTGTTTGCTTGCAATCAAGCAGGAACAACATTGCATTATGTAAATGTAATTTATTTATTACCTTAAAATGTTGCAAAATCTTACAGATAAAGCAAAGTTTTTATCTTCTTTTTATTAATTCTAAGCCATCTTTCCCCCACCTTTTATTTAGTATTGTTACTTTGTTTATCTTTTTTTTTATATAGTTTGTATGTGTGTATACTGTATTAATATATTTAGAAACATAAGTGCAGTGGTAGTAAAATATATTTTTAAGTATACACTCAAATTTATGTTTAGATTTTGAGTTGAAATTTATCTCTAAAATCTGTTATGTATGACGGAGTATTAGGCCCAGGATAGAGATTATTTTTATTTTTTTTGAGAATAAAGTCATAACATGAGAATAAAGCCATAAAATAACATGAATAAAGTCATACTATTACGAGGATAAAGTCATAAAATTACGAGGATAAAGTCATAAAATTATGACAATAAAGTCATAAAATTGTGAGAATTGTCATAAAATTACGAGAATAAAATCATAAAATTACGAGAATAAAGTTGCAATAAGAATTGTCATAAAATAAGAATAACATTGCATTATGTAAATGTAATTTATTTATTTATTACCTTAAAATTTTGCAAAATCTTACAGATAAAGCAAAGTTTTTATCTTGTTTTTATTAATTCTAGGCTATTTTCCCTCCACCTTTTATTTAGTATTGTTACTTTGTTTATCTTTTTTTATATATAGTTTGTATGTGTGTATACTGTATTGATTTAATTTAAATACATAAGTGCAGTGGTAGTAAAATATATTTTTAAGTATACACTCAAATTTACATTTAGACTTTGAGTTGCATTTGATGTCATTTATTTGTAAAAATGACGAATTCCTCATTGATTTATTAATTTCACTAGTAAGTTATTTTTTTTTTATCATGATGTGTTGATATTTTGACTGAGATTTTTCTGGTCTGATTGATTAGTTCGTGAACCAGTCTGATTGAAATTTCTTCTGTTTCTCCAGGGGTGAAGATAATCACCCAGCAGGTGCAGCCCAGTAAAATCCTGCCTAAACCTTCCTCTGTGGCTCTGTCCAGCAGCAGCTCTTCACCCATTATGGTAGTCAGCAGCAATGGCACCATCATGACCACCAAACTGGTCACCCAGCCCACAGGTCAGGGTCCAAACCTTTTACTCATGAAGCTGTTCATAGATCCTGGGTTTATCTGTGTAAAGAAATTAAACCTGGAGTTGTATCTTCTTCCATTTTGTTATATTTCATATATGCAGCGACTCAAACTACATACACAAGACCCACAGTTAGTCCCAATATTGGTGCCAGAATATCAGCGTCCAGTGGAGGGACCACCTACGTCAAGACCACTAGTGGCAGCATCATCACCGTGGTCCCGAAGTCTCTGGCCACTTTGGGTGGGAAGATCATCAGCAGCAATATTGTGTCCGGTGTGTTTGCGTCCCGCTGCTTCGGCGTGTCCGTCGTCTCACACGCCGACACGCAGCAAACGTTTTTTTTCTTCTGCCGTAGGAACAACCACGAAGATCACCACCATCCCCATGACGTCGAAGCCCAACGTGATAGTGGTGCAGAAAACTACAGGCAAAGGAGCCACCATCCAAGGACTGCCAGGCAAGAATGTGGTCACAACGCTGTTAAACGCTGGGGTGAGTCCAATGCCAATGAGCAAGGCAGCACTTTACAAAGGATATGATTGAAAAAAATCATTAATGGACATTGTGCAAATCTATTTGAAACTGTTTTGGCTCAGCTATGTTTAAGCACTGATTTTTTATGTTTTTAGCTTTGTACAGTGGTTGTTACACATGTCCCAAAATAATGAAAAATAAGTAAAGTTTTACTTATTTACTTGTAGGACCAGTGGAGAGGCTTTAAAGGAATAGTACACCCAAAACATGATTAGCCTTCATTTTCTACTCACCCCCATGCTGAACAACACTCTGGAGTACCTTTTTGATATCTCAAATGCATCTGGAGATCTGGGAGGCTTCTTGCTGTCTGCTGACATTCAAATAATGGAGGTCTATGGCGCCCGAGGCAGAAAGGTCCATAAAAGTCCACAAAAAATGTGTCAATATTCCTCCATACTGCTCGTCCAATGTATTCCAAGTGTCCTGAGTGGGTAGCATCCAGAATTTACTGTTGTTCAGCATGGGGGTGAGTAGAAAATGAAGGCTAATCATGTTTTGGGTGTACTATTCCTTTAACGTCCACATGACGTGTGGTATTCATGCAGGTATTCATTTTTAGCCACACCCCCTAATGGCGGCCTCATTGAAAACTAGAGGCTCAGAACTCTCCAAGGAAGGGTCAGAGGTCAATGTGTGACCATTTCAGGTGATGGAACCAGCGTGCGTTGCATAAGCTTGCTCTGTTATTCTTATTTTCTATTCAGTTTGCTGATATTGTTGGTAAATTTCAATGAAACAATGACTAAATCTAAGGTGCAAAGGCTTTGTTTTATGCAGAATGTCTCCAATAATGGAAATCAGCATATTTGTCTGACCAGATTCCCTTTTATGAGCGGAAAAATGTGTTTGTTGCACGATTGGCATTGTGCCAAAAGCACATTTCCTCCTAGCTCACTGCCCACTAAAACCTTTTTAGAACAAACATGCTCCAACTTATTAAGTTCAAAATTGCTTGAGTTATAGTCAAGATGTGGATCTATATAAAGTCTGAGCTTTCAAGGCGTTTTGCAGGGTTTATTTTGGAGTAAAAAGATGGTGAGGCTAAATATTTTTATTTTTTAATCACCTATAAATCAGACATAGTGACATTTAAGATAGTGGTTCACCTGAAAAATATTCCTCAAAGCCTTTTTTGTCATCCAACTACAAACAATTGTATTTCCTATTTATAGTTTGGGAGCTGGACTTGCTTTAATTCACATGTGTAATTTCAGGAAGAATTTGCTCCTAAGACCCTCAGGGTTTATTAAGTCTAGCGTGAGGTTTCCTCTCTCCTCTAATGGTGTTGGTCCCATGAGATCCTGAAGTCAAAACAAACATTTACCAGGAAATTTTAGAGCACTTATAGCTTCCATCTGCTAACAAGCTTCATGATGATGCGAAGTTCATTTCCAGCTGAAGTAGGTACTGGCCCACTCTGCCTAAAAGCTGGTCCTGTGACCTTGATGGTTCTGTGCTTGATTGACCACCAAACTGACCTGACCTGGATCTCAGGGAATCTATGGAGTATTGTTAAAGGGAAAATGAGAGCAGAACCATAAGCTTTGCATTGCTTTGCATTATGGAAAGAAGCTCAAACCAAGTACTGAGCGCAGACATCAGACCGAACATGCAGATATTCTTGATTGGCCAGCATATTTATTTATAATAGTTTCATTTCTTCTACAATGCTGACATTTTCAGAGAAACTGAAATCTGGATTCCATTCGCTGTTTATCAGACTCATCAAGTTAAACCGAAGAAAACCCTTCAAATCCAAATGTGTGTTACATTTGAAAATTAAATGACTGAAATAAACAAGGTGTTGGAGGAGCCTAGTTAAATCCAATGGAGATAACCAGCGTGGCAGAATTAAAACAATGCTGCCAAAGAAGTCGGACAAAATCTGTTAAGTATGACGGAGTATTAGGCCCAGGATAGAGATTTTTTTTTTTTTTTTGAGAAAAAAGTCATAATATGAGAATAAAGTAATAAAATAACATGAATAAAGTCATAATATGAGAATAAAGTAATAAAATAACAAGAATAAAGTCATAAAATTACGACAAAGTCATAAAATTACGACAATAAAGTCATAATATTATGAGAATAAAGTCATAATATGAGAATAAAGTAATAAAATAACAAGAATAAAGTCATAAAATTACGACAATAAAGTCATAAAATTACGACAATAAAGTCATAATATTATGAGAATAAAGTCATAATATGAGAATAAAGTCATAAAATAACATGAATAAAGTCATAAAATTACAAGAATAAAGTCATAAAATTACGACAATAAAGTCATAAAATTACGACAATAAAGTCATATTATGAGAATAAAGTCATAATATGAGAATAAAGTCATAAAATAACATGAATAAAGTCATAAAATTACGACAATAAAGTCATAAAATTACGAGAATAAAATCATAAAATTACGAGAATAAAGTCGCAATAAGAATAGTCATAAAATTACGACAATAAAGTCATAAAATTACGACAATAAAGTCATAAAATTACAACAATAAAGTCATAATATAATGAGAATAAAGTCATAATATAATGAGAATAAAGTCATAATATGAGAATAAAGTCATAAAATAACATGAATAAAGTCATAAAATTACGACAATGAAGTCATAAAATTACGACAATGAAGTCATAAAATTACGAGAATAAAATCATAAAATTACGAGAATAAAGTCGCAATAAGAGTAGTCATAAAATAACATGAATAAAGTCATAAAATTACGACAATGAAGTCATAAAATTACGAGAATAAAATCATAAAATTACGAGAATAAAGTCGCAATAAGAATAGTCATAAAATTACGACAATAAAGTCATAAAATGACGAGAATTGTCATAAAATTACGAGAATAAAATCATAAAATTACGAGGATAAAGTCGCAATAAGAGTAGTCATAAAATGACAAGAATAAAGTCATAAAATTATGAGAATAAAATCATAAAATTACAAGAATAAAGTCGCAATAAGAATATTCATAAAATTACGACAATAAAGTCATAAAATTACGAGAATTAAACCATAAAATTACGAGAATAAAGTCGCAATAAGAGTGGTCATAAAATTACGAAAATAAAATTACGAGAATAACATCTCAATAGGAATTGTCATGAAATTACGAGAATAAAGTCGCAATAAGAATAGTCCTAAAATTATGAGAATAAAATCATAAAATTACGAGAATAAAGCCGTAACATTACGAAAATAAAGCGGTAACATTATGAGAATAAAGTCTTAACAAGTTTATTCTTATAACATTACGACTTTATTCTTGTAGTATTACAACTGTATTAAATAAAATAAAAATAAAAAATCTCTAGCCTGGCCGTATACGTAATATAATTAAAGGTGGAAGCTTTTTTCTCTCCTTATTGCATTAAATCAATTAAAAACTATAGATTATCTTTGAAAATGTTTTATCTAAAATTAACATTATAGATCTAAAGTGAAACAAAATGTGAATGTATGGTTAAGGTGGCCAACATTTTCTCATAGCTCTGTATATGACTTTCCTTTTACATTGGGCTCCTACTGAAAGCTAAATAGTCCCACTGAGTGAAAGATCGTCTGAAAACCATAGATGGATGGTTTATGCCACAAGCTATTTAGGCATTAAAAACAAAATAAGGATGTTTAATGTAATCCAAGTCTGGCTCAATACGTTCTGTAATCTGGGACTTTCAGGGATACTATATTATCATATGCTCTTCTCCTCGCCCTGTTTTCTATGCAAACAAATGAGGTAAAGTGTTCAGCATTTTTATGTTATCGCTACAGGGGAATTTTTGTGAGATATAAGCTCTGCTGCTCAGAAAGCCCCTAATATTTCCCACTTGGAGGCCTTCCTGTGGCACCTCTGTTTAGTGTCCTGGGCTTGGGCTGGGGGTATTTGTGTCTTTCTGCCTAAACCCAGTAGCTTTCTTTCATATTGCTGCCTGTTTGATTCTATTGGTCTCAGATCTGCTTTCCTTTTCACTTCAGGCTACAGCGGCTCACATTTTACAGAGCTATGACAACTTGCATTAAGAGGACGTTGGCTCCATTTATCAGGACATTTTAGAGCACTTCCTACTTCGCTCTGCTGACAAGTTTATAGAGATGCTGAGTTTATTTTCCAGCTGGACTTTGTACCGGCCCACACTGCCTATGAAAAGCTGCTTTAGTGACCCTGGTTGTTCTGGGCTTGATTGTCCAGCAAATTACTCTGACATGAACCCACAGGAAACGTACAGAAAATAATAAAGAGAAAGATGACAGACCCACCAGTGAGATAACTGGAAGGCTTCTATCCAGGGGGTCTGGACTTTAAGAACACCTCAGCAGAACTACAGACCTCCATGTCTGAATCAATGCAGTAAAACCAGCAGAAGATACCAAACCAGATATTAAGTGAATAGAAATAACATTTCGGATGCTTTTTTTTTTTTTTCTGCAAAGAACATTACTCTTTTTTATAATTGATATTGAGTAATTTTTAAATTCTCTGAGATAATGAATTTAGGTTTTCAATTTCTATAAGCCTTAACTACAATATATAAATCGATATATTTCAGTTTTTTTTAAGCTCTACGGGAAATGATTGACAATTAATAGTGAAACATTTCACAATATTATTTTGCTTTACTTGTAGATCTACACTATATTGCCAAAAGTATTTGCTCACCTGCCTTGACTCACATATGAGCTTAAGTGACATCCCGTTCCTAATCCATAGGGTTCAATATGACGTCGGTCCACCCTTTGCAGCTAGAACAGCTTCAACTCTTCTGGGAAGGCTGTCCACAAGGTTTAGGAGTGTGTTTATGGGAATTTTTGACCATTCTTCCAGAAGCGCATTTGTGAGGTCGCACACTGATGTTGGACGAGAAGGCCTGGCTCTCAGTCTCCGCTCTAATTCATCCCAAAGGTGTTCTATCGGGTTGAGGTCAGGACTCTGTGCAGGCCAGTCAAGTTCATCCACACCAGACTCTGTCATCCATGTCTTTATGGACCTTGCTTTGTGCACTGGTGCACAGTCATGTTGGAAGAGGAAGGGGCCAGCTCCAAACTGTTCCCACAAAGTTGGGAGCATGGAATTGTCCAAAATGTCTTGGTATGCTGAAGCATTCAGAGTTCCTTTCACTGGAACTAAGGGGCCAAGCCCAGCTCCTGAAAAACAACCCCACACCATAATCCCCCCTCCACCAAACTTTACACTTGGCACAATGCAGTCAGACAAGTACCGTTCTCCTGGCAACCGCCAAACCCAGACCCGTCCATCAGATTGCCAGATGGAGAAGCGCGATTCGTCACTCCAGAGAACGCGTCTCCACTGCTCTAGAGTCCAGTGGCGGCGTGCTTTACACCACCGCATCCGACGCTTTGCATTGCACTTGGTGATGTATGGCTTGGATGCAGCTGCTCGCCCATGGAAACCCATTCCATGAAGCTCTCTGCGCACTGTTCTTGAGCTACATGAAGTTTGGAGGTCTGTAGTGATTGACTCTGCAGAAAGTTGGCGACCTCTTCGCACTATGCGCGTCAGCATCCGCTGACCCCGCTCCGTCAGTTTACGTGGCCTACCACTTCGTGGCTGAGTTGCTGTCGTTCCCAAACACTTCCATTTTCTTATAATACAGCTGACAGTTGACTGTGGAATATTTAGGAGCGAGGAAATTTCACGACTGGATTTGTTGCACAGGTGGCATCCTATCACAGTTCCACGCTGGAATTCACTGAGCTCCTGAGAGCGACCCATTCTTTCACAAATGTTTGTAAAAACAGTCTGCATGCCTAGGTGCTTGAATTTATACACCTGTGGCCATGGAAGTGATTGGAACACCTGATTCCAATAATTTGGATGGGTGAGCAAATACTTTTGGCAATATAGTGTATGTGTATATATATATATATATATATATATATATATATATATATATATATATATATTAGTGGGTGGGCACAGAAATAGGCTAAATAAATACAACAGAAGCTACATTTCCAAAAAACATCCCACCTTACCCACATTCATCCAAGCAATCATCAGGAAGCAAACATAATGTTGTGGTAATTATTATGTTGTTTTGGTCAAATGACATTTTAAATGACATAATATCCTACCTAAAGCAAAGGAGTGAAGGTCCAGGCTGGCATCAATGAGGTGTAAAGTAACGGGGAGGTAGTTATTGACAGATATCCAGTGGTAAGGTGCTGCAGAGGATGGCGGCCTAGTGGTTAGGGCATAGAGCTTGGAATCAAGTAACCTGAGTCCGCCAGATGGATTTGCTCCGCATATCCATCTGGAAACCTTCTGTTAAAGTAATTTTGGGAAGGGGCGAAAATACTGGTTAGCTGATTGGCCTATGTTGGTGATAGACGGGCCAAATAAACCAATCAGATCAACGAAGCATATGACGTACTAACAGAGCGACGACGAAAACAAAACCTCAAGCCAGGCTACTCTTGCCGAAACCAGTCGGGAGAAGAGCAAAAACGTCTTTTCCTCTGAGAAAAGCCTCCAGAGCAGTGTTTTGCTCTTCTTTCAGTGAAGAAATACTCTGTAATTCCGATAAAACTTGCTCGATAGCCACGCTAACGCTAGTTTCATCGGCTGAAGCCGCCATGTTCTTTAGACTGAACTGTCGCGCTTCTCGTTGCGTCACACCTCAACCCGCCTCAAAGCCAACGCTGATTGGACGTTCGTTTGGTGAACGGCTCCAAATTTCCTTCAACTGAGAGTCTCCAGACAGTAAAACTTTGAAAGCTCGCGAGATCAGGATGGTCTCACGAGGCTAGGAATCCAGAGGTTCTGAGTTTGAGCCCCACTCCCACAGACTGCCACTCTGGGTCTCTGAACAAGACCCTTAACCCCCACATTGCTCCCTGAGCGCTCCACGATGGCAGCCCGGGGATTTAATTGAATTATTTCTGTGAAGTACTTTTTAGCTTGTGGCCGGTAGCCTTTCTGCTCAGTGAAGCAATGCTGCTTTGGCTCCAATTCATGGTTTTAAGTTTATGCAGGAAACCAAAAAGCTACAGTTCTCAAAATAAGACCGGTTAAAGTTGTTGAAAGGTTGGGGAAAATGTGACCCAACCACTGAAATAAACCTCTCCTTTTTTCTTCTGCAATGGAAGAAATAAATATCATTGAATAATTATTGTTACAAGTTTGATTTTGAATTAATGTGGCACATGTACTTTTAATAATATATAATTCCTAATTTTATGGTAATGATGTTGTACATTACAGGGAGAGAAGGGGCTGCAGGCAGTTCAGGGGACCAAACCAGCCATTCTCACCACCTCCAGGCCCATCACCAAGATGATCGTCACCCAACCCAAAGGCATGAGCTGTGGATCTCAGTCCACTGCCACCAAGATCATCCCAACCAAGATTGTTTACGGCCAGCAGGGAAAAACACAGGTGAGCCAAACAGTCCTGGAAGAAGCACCATGAACTGAGAAGACTAACAACATATGACTTGATGTCGATCAGCTGAGTGACATGTGACCAACATCAATGGTCAACTTTGCAAAGGAAGCGAAATTAAGGTTTGTTTTAAGGAAGAACCATTTTCTTTAGAAAGTGACCTTCAATTATCTGGCATCGCCTGTTTTAGATGTTTCCATAGAAGAGAGATTTAAATTAGCATGAGAAAAATCCCCTGCTCTATAGGTTATGTAGTAGGTTATAAACATATAGTGCAGCATAAACACCTTCCTCCTTCTACCTTTACTTCCTAAAATCAGGGAGAGATATGAGTCATGAACTGAACGCACTAAAGAAGGATATCTGCTGCTGTTTGCTGTACGTCCAGCAAATGTTCAGTTCAATTCAGTTTTTTTCTATAGCGCCAATTCACAACACATGTCATCTTAAGGCACTTTACAGTTCACCAGATCATCCAGTCAGATTGATATAGGGTTTTCTATCTATAAAAAACAGTTGATTGCATCGACTCGTTGACTCAAAGGTAACCCCTCACACTAAGCATGCTTGTAGCAACAGTGGATAGGAGCCAGTCACAGTCAGAGAAACAGGACTACACTGGAAAACAGGCCAAGCTCCAACATCTAGAAGCAAAGGTGTTGTTGGCAGCAGCACAGCTGATATTTCTCTCCAGGATGGAGTCACAGCCAAACAGGAACAGACCAGATGAAGCTACTATGAGAAAAAACAGAGAGAGCAGAATGTTAGAGATTGAACTAACAGATTCTGCAGAGTGGGAGAATAGAGATAGAATGAAGCAGAATGATGAAAAAGGGGTCCCTATGTCCTCCAGCAGTCTAAGCCTATAGCAGCAGAACTATAGAGATAGCTCAGGATAACCTGAGCCACTCTAACTAGAAGCTTTATCAAAAAGGAAAGTTTTAAGCCTAGCCTTAAAAGTAGACAGGGTGTCTGCCTCACGGACTAAATCTGGTAGTTGGTTCCACAGGAGAGGAGCCTGAGAACTAAAAGATCTGCCTCCCATTCTACTTTTAGAAATTCTAGGAACCACTAGTAAACCTGCAGATTGAGAGCGAAGTGCTCTGTTAGGAACATAAGGAACAATCAGATCTCTGATATCAGATGGAGCTTGGCCATTTAAGGCTTTATATGTGAGAAGGAGGATTTTAAATCATTGTTGCACTTTCCCTGGAACCTCAACAGTAAAATACCCCAATAAAACCAGGAGGAGGAGGAGGGTTCATGATTCAACAAATATTATGTGAATATTATTGGGTCTGAAGGGTAATGCACTTAGTCCAAAAACAGGGTTTCTGCCGGTCATTAAAAATCATTAAATTATTATTTTTTTAAATTGAGGCCTTAATTTGCATTAAAATTTATTAAATGTGATTATAGTGGCATTTAAAATGCTTTATTTAAAAAAAAAAAAAAGTTTATTAAAAACAATTTCGTCAGATATATTGTATCTTAATATATTTGCGCTGAACGGCTTCCAGTTGATCGTAAAGCCGTATGTTCAGAAGAGAAGCTCGAGGCAAAATTGCAAATTTCAACAAAAGTGGCTGGAAAACGAGGAATTCGGGACAGCCTGTCGACGGTAAAGATGATCAAGGATTTTAGGAACCATATATATGGCAACCATGGTTAATGGCATTAAAATAATTTCTTAGAGCATTAAAAAGCATTAAATTAGAGTTACTCATTCTTGTATTAACCCTGAAAAAGGTGTCGGTGTAAAGAACAGAAACTAGCAGCCATGTTCGCTCAATACTTTTAGCTAATTACTTTTATTTTTCTAAGAAATAAAACTTTTTCTGAACACAAATATATACATTTTCAACCCTTCTACAAGCTGGCGATGCCTAAGAAAATGTTTCTGTGGGTTATTTCTCTCTTGCAGCCTCTAATTGACTGCTATCAATATTTGGGATTTCACAAAAGCAATTGATTAAACAGAAATGTTTTGGACAGCCGGCAGATAAGCAGGGAAACTTAACCAGGCGCTTAAAGAAACAAACAAACAACTACATTTATATTAAATCAATGTTTTACCGTTATCGTTTTTTTCTCTATAAGGGAATTTTGTGTTCATGACACAGTTGTGTATCATGACAGGGTAAACCCCGTCGTTTTAGGTTGTTTTCTTTCTGCTACAGTAGAACAGTGGTGATGAGCAGCAATTGACGGACAAATCAAAACAGTCGGTTCTAAGAACTAAAATATTTTGGCCCCCCCCACCCCCTATTTTCTCCAGGCAGCCAGTCATTCTTTCGATATTAAATGTCAATGGAAGCCTAAAGGAAACCAAGTTAGAGTTTTTGGTCATCAAGGGAAAATGAGGGCAGTAAGTCAGGTGGTTGTGCAGAATTGTGTACGGTCTATATTCACTCTATGAGCCGCCTACGGTCACCATCCACTCCTCAGTTTCTGTCTAACCCTAAATTAGGTCTGTGTAAAAATCACCTCAGATTTTTCTAAACATTTTGGGTTTCAGCTACAGAGACAAAAAAAAATACTTTCAGTGACGAAAAAGAAAAACATGCTTTTCAGTTTCTGTGATGTTAAAACTGGTTTGTTTACACTCATTTAGATCCGTGACCTGATATTTTGCAGCAGACAGAAGTCTTAAGTTTTGCTCCTTATATTACATCAGGGATCACTGGTAAAGCTTTGTTTCCAAAGAACCCGGTTTAGTATCTACTGTTCTGAGTTATAATAGAAAAAGCAAAATGTTAGTGACAATGGGAGATCTGTTTCTGCTGCCTGACCTGACAAATCCTAAATTATCTTTAAAGGAATAATTCCCACCTTTATCTAGGTAGATTATTAGAATAAAAAAAATCCCTTTATTTTCCCACAATGGGGAAATTATGGATTATGACCAGAGCAACTATACATTAAAAAAAAATTAAAAAACAACAATCTACTGGTCTTTGTTTCCAAGTTTAAAGACGTTTTGCCTCCCATCCAGGAAGCTTTTTTAATTCAAATTGTCAGAAATAGCGTTAAGTTCCAGGCTTTATACAGTAGCCCAACCAAGCCTTGTTTTTGTTTGTGGCAAAGCCCCATACCTGTTTATGTTTCTGAAGAAAGGCATGGGGCTTTGCAGTCGAACAAAGAAGCCAAACGACCCCTATTCCTTTTTTTTCTTTTTTGTGGCAATAAGAATAATTGTCTTGATGCCAAAAAGAGCCCAACAGATTTTACTTTCACCAGTGGAGCAGTACGGCTATCGCCATAGTGTTCCGCTTGATTTATGCATGTAAATAGCTTTATTATAAATCATGCAGGGAGTGTTACAGATTATATGGACACTTAAATGTACGAACAGGAAAGAAAAAACTGAAAAAAGGGGAAAAGAAGAAAGAAAGAAGAGATAAAAGGGAGATAATGATAAAACATCTTCAGTCTGCTTCATCACCTGCAAAGAGACGTAAAAAGAACAGCACAACCAACATATATAGTATAAGAGATGCACTAAAGTAACACCTTTATACCATCATTGAAGTATAAGTACCGTAGTATTATTTAACCTGACATGTGTACTGTGGTCACTGAAGATGAGAGTATGGGCTTTCCAAAGGGGAGGACCCGTTCGTCCGTTTCTATTTGCATGTTTTCCAAACAAAAACCAGGCTTTGTTGGGTTACTGTATAAAACCTGGAACTCGACGCTATTTCTGACATTTGGAATTGAAAAAGCTTCCTGGATTGGAAGAGAAATGTCTTCAAACCTGGAAACAAAGTCCAGTGGATTGTTTAGGAACGTTTTGGACTGACTGACCTGGATGACTGAGAATCTTCACCAGCTTCAGGCTTTACAGTCTTCAGTTCTATTTCTTAATGAGTTCAAACAGAACAGCAAACCAGGCATCATCATTCCTTCTATCCATTAGAAACAAAACTTCCTTTTAGAGATTAAATGTTTTTATATAAATTTAGGTTTTGTTGTCTTTTTAAGAAATAATGGGTCTGCTTTAAAGTGATAGTCGGATCGAGGGTAGATAGATAGATAGATAGATAGATAGATAGATAGATAGATAGATAGATAGATAGATAGATATGAGGACAAAGATGTGAATCGTAAGTTTTATTAAAGTGTTCCTAAATAAAACTGGTTCTCTGTTCAAAATAATGACCAAACGATGGTTAAGGTTCTGAGGAACAAACAGATGCTTTTTCCATTTTTTTTCCAGGGTCTGGAATAAGACCTGACTGTGAGATCAGATTAAAAGAAATTGTTTAGAACGGAGGTCTTTAACATGGGGTCCGCGACCCCTAGGGGTCCACAGAGGTACTGCATGGGGGTCGTGAAAGTTTTGGTTGATTAGACTTTTTTTTTATATTCCCCTCTGCAATTTTTCCAATAATTGAAATGTCTTTAAATCCACATTAACATGAATCCAACAGACTGTAGTAAACAGATAAATGGAGGCAGAAGATGTCTTTCAGTCATCAATGCACACATTCAGCGACACACAGGAGCTCTTTCAAACTGGACACCGTTTGATTCACAACACCTGTCCCATCAACCAGGAATCAGAAATACTTTAAGAGAAATTACTTTAGTTACATTACTTCATCTGGAATAGAGTGACTATAGGACCAGTTTGATAGAACACTATTTAATACAATATATATAATCAGGGGTCCCCGCTCCATCTCACCATCAGTTTGGGGGTCCTTGGCCTTGAGGTTCCCTGGTTTAGAATGATCAGAAGGTTTAAACCTACCATGATCTGGTGTCTCTGTCCACAGGGAACCCAGCTTTACATCTCCATTAGCTAAGAGAGCGACAAGCATGAAAGAGAGCACAGTTATTCTCATCTGGCCGTATGGAAACACCAGAGGTTGATATGATGGGAAGAACGATGTTAGAAGGAGCGAAGGGAAGGCTTTCTGACCACAGCACACTATTACAACTGTCAAGCACGGTGTAGGCAGCATTATGCTGTGGGACTTTTTAACATGCCCTTTGCACTGGACATTTAGTGGATTGGATATAGGATATATAGAACATACATCCAAACTGGTTTGGGTGTCAAATGCTGCTAAATGTTAAAAATATATATACATTATATATATATATATATATATATATATATATATATATACATATACATATATACATAGCAAACTAATGAGGCTTTTCCAGTTTTCTCTTTAATGTATGATTTGGTAATTTCAGAACTAAAGACTAAAACAATGTGCAGCAGGTTCCTTCATAGAGCTACTGCTTTAAAATGTTGGACAAAATGAAGAGAGGAATCAGGTGCATGTTCATTATTATATAAGATTATTTTTAAACCAAAAAGCATGAAGTGTTGCTGGTTGATCTTTCTATTGACTCAGTAAATAATGAAAACAGGAAAATAATTTTATTTTTTTTAGTATTTAGCATGATGAGAACCAAGTAAGGAACAACTGATTGGTCCATCTGTTCTCAGTTGGTTGTTAGTGAATGCTTTGTTTCCTTCCAGGTCCTCATTAAGCCGAAGCCAGTGTTTCAGACGGCGGTGGTCAGTGAACAGACCCGGCAGCTGGTCACTGAGACGCTGCAGCAGGTGACCCGAGCTGCCGAGGTCAGTCAGGCTCAGACCTCGGGCCACGACGGCTCTGGGAAGGAGGATACCGGGAGTCTGGGGGAGGCCCCCAGCGTTAGCAGCGATGCCGCCCAGAGCAGCGCTCAAGGTACGGTTTATTCCCTTACTTTGCAAACGTCCCCCACCCAGGCTTTGATTTTTAAACCCATTGTCCTTTGGGGTTTCCCCAAACGCTGATTAATGCGACATTCATCAGATCCGCAGCCTGTAGTGCACATGGTGTCCTCCAGAGAGCAGGATTGGACCGAGCAGGAAGTAGCTATGGAGTCTTTTCCTGCCATTATCAACCCAGAGGTGTCCGGTTCGGATTCCCAGTCCGCCACCTCAACCATCAAAGCCCTGCTGGAGCTGCAGCAGACGGCAGGTGAGGGTTTATTTAATCAAAGCTAATGTTTCCCTCCTAACATGGAGCCGTGTTAAATGATCAAACATTTCTTCTTTGGTCTCCTATGTTTAAAACACATCATTACAGACGTCTAATGGTTCCATCAGAGGCAGCTTCCCTAAAACTTACGCTACTATATTCTTTTTTTTTCAGTGATTATATCACATATAATCTGTAATTCTACATCCCAGTGGCATTTTTTTGCAGCCTGGAACTAAACAGATAAAGTCATTTATGTGTTTAGTTCATTTAAAGCCTCTCTGTGGGAATAATCCCCTAATTTCCCAGAGGACTTTGGTGTTTCCATGTAAACAAATTTATCTCTTTTCTTTATGGCGTGGCATAATGCAAATGAAAGTCATAATAAAGGCCTTTGGTCCAGGTAAACATTGCCTCAGGGCTGCTGATGATACCTGTGTAGTTTACTTTAGCTATCAGCATAACGACACAACTACAGTTTCAGATTCCTGAATCCGGAACCAAAGTTATATAAACCTGGATTTTTATTCTTAAATCTTTGCCTAAGCATTTAAAATAAAGACACAGTTGATTGTAAATCCTGACATCAACAGTCAGACACTTTTCACTGCTTGTTTCTGACGGACTACCTGGTGATTTTCTAATCTTAAATTAGAAAAAACAAACTACAGGTTAAAGTTGGGCTTCAATCCAGTATTTTTAAAATGCTCAAAAAACTTTCGCCTTATGCTGCAGGATGAAACGAACCCAAATATAAAGCTCACCTTTCTCAACGCGGTTCTTTGAAAATGGCCGAGGGTCGTAAGAGAAAAAGGGTCTATGAAGAGTATGAGAAGAAAAGAAAGGCCTCAGAAGAGGAAGATAAATCCCAGAATGCTTTTCGAGGAGAGCTCTCCTTGCAAAGCATATTTTAAATGAAAAATAATAATAATAATAAAAATTTTCCAACAATCATTCAGTTTGGTTTATAGACAATTTCCTGATTCCCATATTTTCTCAAACACCTGAACTGAGCGTTTGTTATTTTCTTTCTTTTTCCTGTCTTAATGTTGGCAGTGGGCTTTAGGCTGCCCTGCAAGGCTTTAAACCTGGGTTTAACCGGAGACTAAGTCATTCTCAAGCACATATCAAGGAGCTCATTTTGAGCCTGGATCCAGATTTATTGTTGATTCTGTTCATGGTGGAGAATCCTGCTTCACAGCAGCAGGTTGAGCCAAACATCCTCTAAATGTGCAGGGTCATCTTTGAGCACGCCATTTCACTTTTCTTTCACCAGTTCACCGCAGTTCTTCCAGCAGTCCACACTTTCTCTGCTCTCTTTTTCTCATGGTCTTCTCCTTCTTTCCCATCGCCCGGCTTGCCACAGGTTTGCCTGCTGTGTCTAAAAGTAGCAGCAGCAGCAACCCAGACTGACAGCTCATTGGCTCATTTGGATCACGTGCAGCCTGGAGCCGGACGCTCCCCAGGGCTTTACCGTATTAACAGGAGAAGAGGCACAAGTGAAATTAGACACTGTCGTCGGACCACCTGCAGTAATTTATAAATGTTTTGAATCAGGTTGGGTCAGGATTAGCCAGCAGGTGGATCCGGATCCAGACCACGGTCCGCTAATCAATGACCTCTGCCATAAACTGTTGCTACCCAACAGCAGCGACTAATAACAAAGTGGTGGAGGAGGAGTTTCGTGACCAAGGGAGCAAAAAGCAGTGATCATCTGTCCGAACGCTCAGTTAACTGAGTTCGCTATATAGTCCCCACTCTATACAGTGATGGAGGGATTTAGGGGTTAGGGCGGACGTGCAGGCGCAGTCAGCTTGCATGAGCTATGAGAACAGCAACTTTTAAACAGAGCGTGCACGAGGAGAAATGGGCTCGTGCACGTTCTAGCACACGTTTAATTCTCTCTCAGGAGCTGGTACAGGGTAGCCTGACGTAGTCCTACTCAATTCTAGTCAGAATATGAGTCTGATGCTGCTCCATAGAGCTGTGATTAAGGGGCGTGTCTCGAACGAACCAGGAAAAAAAATGCCTCTGCACTCAATTGGATAGACCTACAACCAATAAGAGCAACGGAGTGCGTGACGTATGTTAAGCGAGGCATAGTTGCTGTCCACAAAAATCAAAGCGTGCAGTTGCACGTCTAGAATAAGAAGATGAGACTTGATCGCGTTTCTCTGTTCCTCTTTTAAAATTAATTTGCTGTCAATATCTTCTAGAACAGACCTAATAGCAGAATCTACTCACCCAAGCTCTCCAGTGGCAGCCATTATTGTTGTCACCCTAGCGCGCTTTGGTCACGTGGTTGATTACGTTACTGTTGATCATCTGTCCATCATCGTATAAAGTCCGCCCTGACAATTTGATTGGATCGCCTGACAGTGGGCGACAATACTCGCGCTACTATGGAGCAGAGCCAGACCGAACTTCCCCGAACTCAAACCTTGTGGGCGGGACTAAATTCTGACTGGCACCCAGGCTAGGTACAGGGTTGTGCATGTGTATTTTTTTAAGTGGAGAGGGCAGGTCTTTAAAAAATGTTGTGAAAAATCCTCAAAATACCTTTAAGGAAGTAAAGCTCTCAGAAGGTAGAGCGAGGTAAACAGTACAGAACCAAAGCAGTTAGATGTGCCATTCAGAGGCCATCTAGAAATAAGAAAAAATCTGTTAAATAAAGTGTATTTACCCTTAATTTGAGTAGGTGATTAAGATCATTTGCCAATGGAATGAGTATTTTTACTCTTTAAAAAAGATAATTAGATAATATGCACTTCTTCTGCTAAACAAATGTAAAAATCAGAGTATAGGGATGAAAAGAAGTTCATGTTTATTTGCATATTTTATTGGACTGTTTAAAGAGGATCCCTGGGCAGAAGTTAGTGTTTTTACATGGAAACACAGAAGTCCTCTGGGAAATTAGGGGAATATTCCCTCAGAGAGGCTCAATGACTTTGTTTGTTTAGTTCCAGGCTGCAAAAAGATCCCATTTTGTAACCTGGAACTAAACCCACGTTTGAAAACAGAAAATAGGATTTTGGAGTCCCCCTAGTTTAGAGTGTGGGCTTAAATCTAATGTAGATGCTGCAGCCTGGCCATAAATAACCAGTCATCCTGGAAAGCTTTTCACCGTGGCTGAATTTCAACAGGTCTGCAAAGACTGGTGCGACAAAATCCCTCAGGTTTTCCTTGTCTGACGTCAAAATAGGTCCAGCAAGAAACAAAAAGCTACCACTTCTTCATGACATTGCATAGTTCAAGAGATTATATTATTTTTTTATTTAAATTAGAAGTTTCATCTGTAAGTTTAAACTTGCTCTAAAATCGTGCAAAACCAACTTTGAGCCTTTGCATCTGGATCCGAAGATCATTTCAATTCTATTCAGTTTATTTCTATAGCGCTAATTCACAACACGTGTCATCTCAAGGCACTTTAGAGTTAAAATTAAAAGATAAATATCAGGATCAGTAGAAGAAGCTTCATTTGTCTGTCAGCAGTGAAGGAGAAGGCTGAGTCCAAAGCGAAGCAGCCAACCATCGACCTGAGCCTGATGGCCGTTCCCATCCAGCCGCCTCAGGAGAAGCTCAGCCCAAAGTCGCCAAAGCCCTCAGCATCAGAGGCCGAACCCACGCCGGACCACGTCACAGCAGGTGATTCCAGATATACACCAACTTTACTTCCTCCAGTATCACCCATTCCTAATGACTTCCTTTTTTTATTGCGTCCGAAACCTTTAATGGATGGCACGCTGTGGCGTGAAGGCGGAAGTGTGCGTGTGAAACTTCTCATGCCTTTCATAATGTCATCTGACCGCCTGACTGTGGATTCGCCGCAGGTAAACCGAGCAGAGCGGAGGCGCCCTCGCAGGAAGGCGATGCAGTGATGTCGTACACTCAGCCAGCAGGGAAACCTCTGAAAAGCAACAGTCAGGTTCCCGTGGTAACCAAACCAGTCGCACCCGCCTCCGTGGCCACGCCATCAAACCTGGTGAGATTACACAGAAAATGTTGGTTTAATGTAAGCAGCTTTGGTTTATTAAATAATGAAAGGAGACGAATAAACCAGGATAAATGATGGAAACGACTTTTAGCTTCTGTCATTGTTTTAAAAGAAAAGATTCACAACAAATATCCAAATTTAATGCAGACATATATATATATATCAGTCGGTTATAGAAAGATTCAGCTGAATATATTATAATTAGTTCAAAACTATTAGTGTCTCTTATTTTCTAACCGGAAAAATGACATCATAGGATTTTATCAGACAAATAAAAAATTAGGTTGAAGGTCACTTTCACCATGAAAGGAAACTATAGCCTTAAATGTATTTTTCATGGCCAACGGTTTGAGGTTTCTTTCAGCACCAGAACAACTTTATTGTCATGGTTGTAGTAAAATTTGTCATAACTACAAAATGCCACAAACCTTCCACAGGAAGCCCGTTTCTGCTTTCATGGGAACCGCTTAGAAATTTCACCTTCAGTTTCATTCGGACAAATCTGCAAACCGTTAGGTGGGATAAAAATTTGAACTGTGAGCTGACTTGGGTAGAAATTACAAATATATGACCTGTTGCTTTAAAGTAAGGGGAAGTTTCTGCAAATTCATCATATCTAAAAACCTTTTCTGAAGACTTGGAGCATAAAATGTGAAGTATTTAGGAGGTATACGTTGTATCAAAAATATTACTGTGATGGCTGGTGAGTCTAATGCCTATAAATATTCATCTTAATGTTCACTAAACCAGCTTCAGATTATTAAAATAAAACTTTCATATAACAGCTGAAGTTCAAAACTATCTATATCTATATATATAGATATATATATCTATATATATAGATATATATATATATATATAGATATAGATATATATATATAGATATAGATATCTATAGATATATATATATATCTATATCTATATATCTATATATATATCTATAGATATAGATATATATATAGATATATAGATATATATATATATATATATAGATATATAGATATATATATATATATATATAGATATATAGATATATATATAGATAGATATATAGATATATATATAGATATATATATAGATATATATATATATATATATATATATATATATATATAGATATATAGATATATATATCTATATATATATGTGTGTGTGTGTGTATAGATAGATAGATAGATAGATAGATAGATAGATAGATAGATAGATAGATAGATAGATAGATAGATAGATAGATAGATATAGGAACAATATTTTTGGGTTCAAAATGGGAAAATAACATCGTCCAATTTTACCTCTCATGGAACGACTCATATAAATAAATCAAAAGAATATTTTAGAATGTATAAAATAGTTAAATAATGAGAAAGCCTGGTATATTTACAATATTTAGTTGTTTATGTTTATTCAGAATGTTTATTTGTTTGCTTAGCTTCAGCCCGCAGACGCTCACAGGAAAACGGAGTCTGTCGTAGAGGTGACTGAGATGGAGGGCGACACCCTGGACCCTCAGACGGGCTTGTTCTACCGCTCCAACAAACCTCCCTCTGACACCGTCAACCCAACGGCTCAGCTTGCGGCGGCGAGCCACGCCGAGGCAGAGCAGAGCCGACCCAGCTCCACCCCGGTCCAGCAGCCGCCTCCCCCGCAGCTCCAGAGCAAACCTCAGATCAGCCAGCCCTCCTCCTCGTCTGCTCCTCCTCTCATTAAGAAAATCTGTAAACCACCGGATCAGAGCACGCCTAAACCTCAAAGCTCAACTCCGAGCCCTCACAAAGACAGAGCCCCGGCTGTACCCACACAGACCGCAGCAAAGACCCAGACTCCCAGCACGCCAGTCAAGCCCCCGGTTACACCACAGCTCCCCAAGCTACAGCAAGCGCCGTCGTCCCACCACAGGCCTCTGCACGCTCCCATGTCACACCCGCCTCCCCTGCAGGCGCACCACCCAGTGAGCACTGAAAAGCCCGCATCCAGTCAGGTGAGTGTTGCTCCACCTGCCCCCCCTCCCCTCCACACCGCACAGATATTTACATTCATTAGATCCAGATGATGTAAGCAGTGTTTGTCACGCTGCTGGAGTTTCCCTCATTTCCTGCTGGAAACAACAAATCATCTTCATGTTTAGCAGGAACCAGAAACCTATTATACTGTTATACAGCAGCATGAAAAGTATTCACACCTCTGAGACTGTTTCATGTATTTTAAAAGTAATTAATGCTATAATAAAAAAACACAAGTGGTGCATAATAATAGATTGAGTCTATCGGTTCATGTTCTGCAAATAAACCTCTGAATATTAGAGAGCATTTATTTATTCCCCTTTTTGTCCCATAAATAAAATCAGCTGTCAGCCTTTGCCTCCAACTGAGTGATAAATATGGATATTTTGATGGCAAAAATCAGTGTCAATTAGGGGTGTAAATAATAATCGTTTTGTATCGATGCATCGATCCAACAGCCGACGATCCGATGCATCGATACGTCCACAAGAGAATCGATTCAAGTTTTTTTTTTTCCTCCGGTCTATTTTTATCCATTTGCTCCTGGGTGTAATTCTCCCTCCCGTGCTGCGGTGGCGCTAAACCTATTTTGCCCTCCTACCTCGCTTCCTGGTTATACTCTTATGCTGCGTTCACACCGGGGGCAGCTGGCGCGACAGAAGCAGCGAGTTTACATGCAAAGTCAATGGTTGACGCGCGTCAAGGCGCAGCAAAATGTCCCGCGGCGCGTTTCGAGCAGCAAGCGCAGCGCGTCTGAGCAGCCGAAGCAGCGCGTCGGGCGCGTTTTGGCATCTGACGCGCGCGACGCGCCGCAAACGCGCTGCTGCTCGAGATGGAAAAATTGAATTTTTGCTGCTCGACGCGCCGCGTCAACCAATCAGAGAAGCTGATCTGGGAGCTGGCTGGGAGAGAGACACAGCGCTGATGACACAGACTGCTCTGATCACTTCTCTTAAACAGTTTATTAAAGCATAATTAACTTAAAATATATACATCTGCCGGCAGAATATGTTCGCTTTTATTATTCTGGTGCCTGCAGACCGGATTATTTAGATGAAAAACACCTACCAGCCACAGCGGTAAACCGCGAGGAGGCGACCCGGCCAGAGGCTGCTGATGAATGGATTCCTTCTGTCGGCGCACCGCTGGTATGTGGGGGTCTGAGCGGCTCCGACAGAAATAATATTGGGAGGCAGGATTGTAATCTGGATGAACTGACTGCACTGATGAAGTTTTCTGGTGTATTTTCTCACTTAAAAACATATTAAAACTACTTTATTCCCACTGATCACAGCAAATATAGCTGCAAGGCAGAGAAAAGGATAGTGAAGCTCCGCCCAACGCGCGTCAGAGCCACTTTTGGACCGCGCAGCGAGAGCAGCAAAGCTGCTTCAGACGCGCGTCAGAATTCACTGGTACAAGCAGCAAAAATGAAGCAGCAGACGCGATTTTGCTGCTTTTGCTGCCCCCGGTGTGAACGCAGCATTACAGCAGTGTGTTGCAGTGAGCTTGATGCAGACATTTTTAAATTATGCCCAATATTGAAGCGTGGTCTGTGCTACACGCTGTGGGTCTAGATACGGTCGAGGCGGCGAGGAAGTGGGGGCGAGTTTAGTCCGACGACGGAGGAACATGAGGGCCAAAAAGAGCGGAGATCCAGGTGGAAAAAGGGTCCCAGCGTTCTCACGCACTTCGCTCTTCTAGCGGGTCAAACTTCACGAGTTGTTTTCCGGAATTTCGGTCATAAAAACAAAACAAGCCGGCCTCCTGTCTGGGGTCAGCTACAATTTGGGAGAGGAGCAGCGGAGCGTCTGTGGAGGGGGCGGGACGTCTGGAGCCGAGGTATTGAATTGCACTCATTGCACTGATTTTCTGCAGTATTTTTTGATGCAAAGCCTTTCAGAATCTATAACGCAGGTATTATTATTTTTCAGTGAATGAGGTTTTAATAGGAATAGGTGGATTGCAACTTTTCTACTTCTGTTATTTTCTGTAGTTTCTCAAATAAAATGCATAACGGTTTTACAGCTTTCATTGATTTATTTTAAATTTGAAACATTGTCAAAAAGGTAAAAAAAAAAAATGAACCAATCAACTAATCAAATCAAATCGTGGTGTATTCTTGAGTCTCGAAAATAATCGAATTGTTGGGTCAGGAAATCGATACGGAATCGCCATGATGGTGTGATTTACACCCCTAGTGTCAGTGTAATAAGAAGAAACGCCATCTCTCGCGAATATATTAAGAAAAATAACAAAAGTGCTTCTAGAAGAAATTGATGAAAAAGTAAAAGAAACACATTTTTTTATTCACATTTTTTTATTGGTCCAACATAACCTTAGAGGCATTAATGCTGATACTGGAACTTACATTTTTTTGGTTTATAAACCTAAATATTATTGTTAACGAGGCTTATTAACTTTTTAATTTTATTTTTCAATTTTTCAATTAGCTTTTTACCCTTTTTCCTTGACTTGTACTGTAGGTAATATACAGTGGGGCCAAAAAGTATTAAGTCGGCCACTGATTGTGCAAAGAGGTGCCAATAATACAGGTAACCACTGGAGGACAGAAGAGCTTCTTAAAGAAGAAGTTACAGCTTTCTGAGAGCCAGAAATCTTGGCAGTTTGTGGGTGACCAAATACTTATTTTCCACCAATTTACAAAGAAATGGTTTAAAAAAAAAAAAAAACTACAATGTGATTTCCTGGATATTTTTTTTTTTTTCTCATTTCATCTCTCATAGTTGAATTGTACCTATGATGATAATAATTACACACCTCTCTCATTATTCTAATTAGAAGAACTTGGGCAATCATTGGCTGATTAAATACTTTTCAGCCCCACTGTATCATATAAAGGCTCATCTAATTGGTCGAATGCCAAAATAAGATGTGCAGCCATGTAGCAGGATCTTTGCTGATTGGCTGGATATAGATCTTGTACTTCTAGACACTCAGGTGATCACTGAATTGAATTGTTGCTCGTCGCTTTAATGCAATATATAAACACACATGTTGTTTTTGCTGTTGGACGTCTTTACCCCAGCAGCCAATCATCACTCAGAGTGCCACCGTCACCAAGATCACCTTTGGCGGCTCTCACCACCCCACTCCGGTCTTCAGCAGTGGCGAGGCAGCCGCCAAAATGATCCCAGAGTCCAGTTCCGGGTCTTCAGGAGACAAGCAGTCGGTGTCCGACATCCTGAAGATCTCCATGATGGAGGCAGAGATCGATCCCAGCACGGAGCCCATGGTTGTGGATTCTTCTAGCGACTGCGGCCCTCTGGGAAAAACCCTGGACGTCCAGTCGGTGTCGGGAACGCTGGACTCGGGCCAGTTCATCAGCAGCTCCGTAGCCGGCGTGCGCCACACTAAGCCACAGCAGTTCAGCTGCGTTCAGGGCCTCGCGGCACAGAGCAGCAAAGACGACCTGGAAGTCATTGAGGTGAGTTTCTGGTTACTGAGGTTTGCAGGTAATAAATCACCCAGCCAGTAGCTGTCAGCATGTCTGTCACATACCCACTTCTTCACTGAAGCCTTTTTTAAACCCGTCGGTTCATAACGAGGCAGATTGATCACGTTGGACTAAATAGATGGCAGAAAATACGTTCCTGAATTAAAGGTCTACACTGAAAAAAAATGAATTTTTTTCTTAAAATAAGTACATTTTTCTTGAAATGAGGAGGTAAAAGAGACATCTTGCCAATTTACACTTAAAATAAGAAAACACAATTGATTTGTCTTATTTCAAGTGCATATTATCTAATTATCTTATTTTAAGAGTAAAAATACTCATTCCATGGGCAGATCATCTTAGTTACCTGCTCAAATTAAGGGTAAATACATTTAATTTAGGAAATATTGACCTATTTCTAGAATGTTTTTGCAGTGTAATTAAAAGCTCTTAACACGTCTGTCAAATATTCCCGACACAATTCAAGTATCAAGTTACAGAGCAGAAATCAAGTCAGTAAATGTTTTAAAAATAAAACCCCTCTCCCCTAAAAAAAAAACAATAAATAAAACTATTCATAAAAAATATTGCATGATTAAAAAGTTTTTTTAAAGGTGATAATTCAAAGTTGAACTCTGCAAAAAATTGAAATCTCAATTATAATTTTTTTAGCCAGCAAAAAAAATGGGTCCGGATCCGGACCGCTGTCGCTAATCCCGACCTCTGATCTAAAGGATCATGACTCCATCCATTTGTCCAACGATCCAATTAGGGGTGGGCATTGGCAAAGAAGCCACAATTCGATTCGAATCACGATTCACATGCCACGATGCGATTCTATCACAATGCATCATGATACTTGAAATATTGCGATATTTTTACTGAACACTGTTAGAAAAAGATACAGCCCTTACCAGTGGCTGACTGGCTGGGTGTGATCTGGATAGTATCTTTAATTGATACGTAACTGAAAGCAACTGAATTCATACAAAGCTGTATTTAATCAAATGACTTTTGGAGGTGTTGCCATGGAAACAAATACTGGACGGAAATATTACTATTACTGGCGTGGACACACTGACAAAAAGATCTTAGGATTCATAAAATAACTAAATAAGGATGATCAGAGCCGTTTACATGGCCTCAGTGGTCCTTTAAACCAATGAAACTAGGGATGCACGATATAATCGGCCCCCTATCGGTATCGGCCTTAAAACTGAATATCGGACATCGGCCACCCCACCGATATTTAACCTGATATTTGATCAACTCTAAAAAAAAAAAAAAAAAAAAAAAAAAAAATACTACTTCTTCTTCTTCCTCAAAAACTTCTTTTTTACAGACTTAAAAACTTCTAAAGACGAGGGAAAAAATATTGATACATTAAAATATCCCAATATCTTCATATGCTGATATATTGCCATTTAAAAACACCATATCAATCTCTTTTACTAATGAAATATTGCTATATGTCATCGTTATGCTACGAAATCCCCCAAAAATTCACGAAATGTTGCCATATTTTTATATGTTGATATATTGACGCGGTATCGATCTATTTTACTAACAAAATCTCACAAGAATTTGCAAAATATCACGAGAGTTTGTAACAGAACGATGAAATTTCACGAGATTTTGAAAGTAAAATAGATCGATACCGCGTTTTTAAAAATCAATTTGATATCAGCATATGAAAATATATTTGAGTATATTATTTTTCATAGTGTCAGAAATGGATAACAAAACTGCTATTTTCAATGACTACTTATTTTTGTCCAGCTTTAACATCGGTATCGATATCGGTTATCGGCTACATGAGTTTTAAAATATCGGCATATCGGATATCGGCCAAAATCCCAATATCGTGCATCCCTAAATGAAACTAAAACATTCAAATGTATATTTCCCCTTTTGCAAATTACGTGCATCATATCAATTTTGTTTTTACCTTCTTTGTTTTTAAAGCCAAAATGCATCCAAGCACCTGACTTGAAATGTGATGGAGCCGCGGGGCGAATTTTCTCAGTCTCCTCCATGTTTTATTTACGAATGACTCGTCGCAGTATCCCGTAGCCGGAAATGCTTGCGACACAAGGCAGCGGGCGTCAACACATCCGCAGCGACACCTGCTGGACTGGAAGCTGTATTCCACTTGGTCTGGCTGATGGACGCTGACCATTCATGTATTTTATTTGTTCATTTTTTTTTTTTTATAAATGATTCTTGCCTTCAAAAATCGATGCAGTAGATCACAAAAATTTGAATCGCGATGCATCGTCATGACGATTATTTTGCACAACCTTAGATCCAATCGTTCATCCATTCATTAAATTGAGCGAGACAATGAAGAGAGAACTATTCCATGTTGGTGTCGACGTAACGTTTGCAGGAAGTACGAAAGCAGGAAGTCTGCATTAACCAGAGGTCGTTGAAGCAGAACTAAAACCTTTTCTCCATCCATGCAGGTGATCCCTCAGTTCTCCATCCTGCCAGACTCCAGTCAGTCCAACGTGGTGGTGGAGCCCAGCGGCTTCCTGGAGATCACCAACTACACCAGCCAGCAGCTGGAGGAGGACAGCCCCATGGAGCAGGAGGTGGACAGTAGCAACGACGAGGCCGCGGCCGCCAGCCCCGCAGGGCAGCCGTAGGCGCTCTGAGGCCGGGACTCTGACATGAGCAAGGCACTTCTACACTTTGAACCAGCAGACTGATGATCTATTTCAGATTCACACCCAGCAGACCGTTCTGTTTCTTTCTTTCCTCTGAGCGTGTAAAACATCACTTTGTTAGTCTCCTCTCTCCGCAGCTAATGGCCCATGTGGTTTTTATTGCTGTGAAAGCTGAGGTGAAAGGATTAGCTTTAGCTCAGAACAGCTGGAAAAAGCTCCAGCGTTTTAACGTACTCGCACAACTTTTGTCAAACCTTTCCACGTTTATAACCCAGAAGAGGATTTTTTTTCCTTTTTTTTGGAATATTCGGATCTACTTTGCATCATTTCAGAAACATAAACTGCATCTGTGTTAATAGCTGTCCATAGTGTCTCCTTTCTCATCAGAGAAACTGTATTTTTATCCTGACTGAATAACAACAAACTTTCTCTCGCATTTTGGTTTTAGAGATAAAAAAAAAAAAAAAAGGGAACATCGCTGGAGCGGATTTATTTCTCTGTGAGACTTTAAGCAGACCCAGAAAAGAGAGCTGAAGGCTGGATTCTGTCCAAGATACGCCTCACTTAAACGAGAAGAAATAAACAATGCACCATTGGTTTTTTTTTTTGTTGTAAGATTGACTAAGGTTAAGAAAAGAAGCTGTTGTCAGGTTTGCATTTGTCTTGGCATCGTTTGTTACAGCTGCATTTTTTTTCTTACTTTTTCAAACTAGAGGACTCATGAGAAATCATTTAATCTGCACAATAAAGCAGTTGAGTGAAACTTAGCAGTTTATCAGTCCCAGCAGATTATTTTTCTTTAAACAGAAAAAGTCAAAACCTGTAAACATATACAGGAATTTCCTTCTCCATTACTAATACTTAACCACTTGAGCCCAGAGGGTCTTAGGTAGCCTCGTGAGACCATCCTGATCTCGCGAGCTTTCATTGGCTTTGAGGCGGGTTGAGGTGTGACGCAACGAGAAGCGCGACAGTTCAGTCTAAAGAACATGGCGGCTTCAGCCGATGAAACTAGCGTTAGCGTGGCTATCGAGCAAGTTTTATCGGAATTACAGAGTATTTCTTCACTGAAAGAAGAGCAAAACACTGCTCTGGAGGCTTTTCTCAGAGGAAAAGATGTTTTTGCTCTTCTCCCGACTGGTTTCGGCAAGAGTTTGATCTATCAATCGGCTCCTCTTCGTCGTCGCTCTGTTAGTACGTCATATGGTTCGTTAATCTGATTGGTTTATTTGGCCCGTCTATCACCAACATAGGCCAATCGGCTAACCGGTATTTCCCAAAATTACTTCAACGGAAGGTTTCCAGATGGATATGCGGAGCAAATCCATCTGGCGGAGTCAGGTTAGGGGTTACTATATTTGGGCAAAAATGGCCGCTCCCAAAGCTTGTGACGAAAAGTATTGTTTTTATTTTTTTACTGATTAAAACTAAATTAATTAAATCACTGCAAACATATTAGTTTTAGGCATAAATAATGATCCATTGATTATTCCTTGCTAAACTTTTTTCCTTTAAGGTGATAGAAGGTAGATGTGGTTCCTCATTCATTCTTACGGCTCCATTAGTTGCAAAAACGGCCATGTTGGTGTGAGTGATTGTTCTGATAGATAAATTACAAGCATCTATTACCTCCAGCTATGTTCAGAGCTGAAGAAGCCTTTTGGATGGTCTTTAAGCATCAAGAAACGGAGTCCAGATGTCTTCTACTTGATCACTTTGGAGGACAGAATGTCAGGATGTTGGTTAAAAAATGAAAAAGAGAGATTTTCAGATTTAAATAGTGGGATTAGTTAATCTTATCAGGAGGCTGCTTTTCAGAAAATTTAAATATTTGATAAGACAAAGAGTAAAAATGTCTCCATCATAATCAGGAAACTGACATAAATTCAGCTCTATTTAAAAAAAGTTTGTTTTAGTTCTATTTCATGAAAACATTTTCGTCGTTAGAGATTTCTTCAAGAATAAACTCTTGATTGTTTTAGGTTCCTACATTAATAAAACCCCAGGCTTTGATTTGTTTAAAGTGCCTAAGATCTTTATTTTGACTTATGTAGGAAAAAAATGTAAAGAATGTAGAAATAGAGTATAGTTTACACTAAAAGCTAAACAGTTTTCCACTTATGTTTAATTTCAAATCTAACACAAACTCAGGTTTTACAGAGTGCTCAGGAACTACATATATTTACTTAAAGCTGCTCTCAAATCCACTTCAGCAGCCAAAAAAACGTATTAAAAAGCCCAGAAAGCGCTCCTGCTGAGAGCCATAAAAACATATTTACTGCCTTGTAGGGAGAGGGGTTCATAATGGTTGGAGACGGGGAGTTTGCTGTCAGAGGTTTGTTGTCTCAGCTTTCCTGTAAAAACCTTCCTGCACGCTCCATGCTGCTGTTTTCCCTCCTGGTGCTGTAAGCGATCCAGCCTACCAGGCCTGATGGGTTGACCTCAACCTGAAGACATGTGGCTTTGTTTAGGAGCATGTCGACTTATCGACCCTCAGGGCCGAACCCCTGCTTGGAAAGCGACGACGGTCTGACAGGATTTCACGGTTTACGCTCTCTGCTGACTCAGCTGAAGGAGAAACGGCTCTGTGATGAACACTGCAGGAAGATTTAAAGAAACGTTTCTTTGCTGCTAAATGCATTAATGACAACTGTAATATATTTCATTAGGATTTAATGTGAAACGCCAACATACAGCTGTTTAGAATTATGTAGTGGAAATAATTTTCTTTTACAAATAAAACTAACAATGTGTTGTTTTAATCCCCCTTTACTGTGATACCCCTAAAAAAATCCAGTCAGCAAACTAGAACAGACTTCAGGATTGTTAGAGAAAATTAAAGGAATAGTACACCCAAAACATGATTAGCCTTCATTTTCTACTCACCCCCATGCTGAACAACACTCTGGAGTACTTTTCTGATATCTCAAATGCATCTGGAGATCTGGGAGGCTTCTTGCTGTCTGCTGACATTCAAATAATGGAGGTCTATGGCGCCCGAGGCAGAAAGGTCCATAAAAGTCCACAAAAAACGTGTCAATATTCCTCCATACTGCTCGTCCAATGTATTCCAAGTGTCCTGAGTGGGTAGCGTCCAGAATTTACTGGAAATGAAGTCATTTAGAATGTTTTTAGAGCATAAACAGTAGTGTATAGGATTTCCTAAAAGCGCGTTCACGAGTCTACGGAAACCGCAGCAGACCAAACCAGATGAAAGTGCGCATTCAGCGTCTGCTCTGCCAATAATGCAAGCGTAGAAGAAGAAATGTGCTGTTTACCTGTGCAAAGAAAGAAACAACGAAAGAAAAATGTCTGAGGACTTCAGTGTTGAGGAAGAGCATGAGTTCTTTGCCGAGCTGAATGCGCACTTTCATCTGGTTTGGTCTGCCGCGGTTTCTGTAGACTCGTGAACGCGCCATAGACCTCCATTATTTGACTGTCAGCAGACAGCAAGAAGCCTCCCAGATCTCCAGATGCATTTGAGATATCAAAAAAGTACTCCAGAGTGTTGTTCAGCATGGGGGTGAGTAGAAAATGAAGGCTAATCATGTTTTGGGTGTACTATTCCTTTAATAAACAAAGACCACTTGAACGCAGCAGACAGGTGAGGGAGTTCCAAAAAAGGTAAAATAGAATTTGTTTGTTTCCAAGTTTGAAGACGTTTCTCTTCCCATCCGGGAAGCTTTTTCAATTCAAAATGTCAGAAATAGTGTTGAGTTCTAAGTTTTTTTTTTATAGAGTGGATCAAAAATAAAGCCTAGTTTTGGCTTAAGAAACATGCTAATTGAACTTGACGAGTGGGTCCGCCCCTTTAGGATGAGGGTCGTTTTGTTTCTTTGTTAGCCTGTTATACCAGAAACCTGTCTATGTCTCTGAAGGTTTAAGGGAGAAAGTTGTAAAGTTTAAAGCAGGAAGAAACCTCCAGCAAAACCAGGCTCAGTGTGAGCGGCCATCTGCTGAGGCCGACTGGGGTTTAAGGAGACAGAAGCAGACATAGAAAAAGCAGCATAGATACAAAAGGCAACCAGCTCCACAGAAGGCCCCGTAGAATTATATATTAAAGCAGGGGTCTTCAAGGTTTTCCAGGCCAAGGACCCCCAAACTGATGGCGAGACAGAGCGGGGACCCCCTAATTATATATATAAATAGTATAGTCACTCTATTACAGATGGAGTAATGTAACTGAAGTAATTTCTCCCTGGGATTATTTAAGTATTTCTGATTCCTGGTTGATGGGACAGGTGTTTTGTAAATGAAACGGTGCCCAGCTTGAAAGAGCTCCTGTGTGTCGCTGAATGTTTGCATTGATGACTGAAAGACATCTTCTGCCTCCATTTATCTGTTTACTACAGTCTGTTGAATTCATGTTAATGTGGATTTCAAGACAGTTCAATTGGTGGAAAAATTGCAGGGAGGAATATAAAAAAAGTAATAAACCAAAACTTTTGCGACACCCATGCAGAAATCCGTGGACCCCGTAGAGTCTGCGGACCCCCTGTTGAAGACCTCCATATTAAAACAGGACAGAAGAATATTCAGATGGATGCAAAAAGCTATTAGATGTCTGCGTTAACAAAGGCACAAAACAACAGATTGGTAAATGCTTTTTTTGGTTTGTTTCTGTTGCTGTTGGACCGTCTAAATCTGACTTTAACTGTGTTTAAGAGCATGCGCGGGAAAAAATAAATTTCTAGATAAGTCATTTTTTCTTAAAACAAGTGCTTTTGTTCTTGAATTGAGGAGGTAAAAGAGACATTTTGCCAATGGAACAAAACAATTTATACTTAAAATAAGAAAACACAATTGTATTGTTATATTTCAAGTGCATGTTGACTAATTATCTTATTTTAAGAGTAAAAATACTAATTATATTGGCAAATTAGCTCCTTTATCTACTCTAAGGATAAATGCACTTAATCTAAAAAATTTGTACTTATCTCTAGATCATTCTTCTAGTGTGTGAGCCTAATAATGGAAATGATGATAGCGCTGACCTGCTGTTTCATTGGATACTGCACTGCAAAAACGATATAGAAATAAGTCAACATTTCTTAAATTAAGTGTATTTACCCTTCATTTAAGTAGATAAATAAGATGATTTGCCAACGGAGTGAGTATTTCTACTCTTAGCATAAGATAATTAGATATGCACTTGAAATAAGACAATGCAATAGTTTTTTTTCTTATTTTAAATGTAAATTTTCTCGTTCGATTGGCAAAGTTTTACACTTACCTCCTCAATTCAAGCAAAAATTCACTTATTTTAAGAAAAAAACGACTTTATGAGATTTAAATTTTTTCCAGTGTGAGATTAGATCCATTCTTTTAGTATTCACAGCTGAAAGGTGAAAGCTGGCCTATAAGTTTGCTGGAAGGTTTATGGGAGAAGAGAATCACAGAAGCAGGTAAGAGTTTCCTCCAACATGTCTGTCATTTATCAAGCAACATTCCTACAACCTGAGATGACTTGATTTACTTTGTTTTAGTCTGAGTACAGGATTAGTTGTGTGGTCCTTCTTGGAAAACCAGAGGTGGGTTTAATCCTCTCGGGGTTGAATGGCTTAACGCAGCCATGGGCCCCTTAACTTACGTTGCTTGTCATATTTTTAACCCTTAGTTAACTTAAACTTGTATGAAGTGTGTTTTTACTGGATGCTGTAAATTTGAGGTGGTATCAGCTGTTTGCTTTAAGAGCAAAACATTTTCTCCTATTTTTCTTCATCCCTTTGGTGCATATCTAACCTTGAACATTACATTTGATCCTTGA